TTTCTCCGTGAGTATCATTTTCTTTCTGAGATATTCCTGTTCTTATTAAGGGCTCATAGGATAGCAAAAAACCAGAGATTTTTTTTTTTGTGTGGTGTGGTTTTGCTGCCATTGGTTGGAAGGAAGAGTGAAACCCTATTTGCCTGGGAAATGCGGGGATAACCGTTTCCTGTAAAAAAATGCCTTCTAGTTATATTCTAATTATATTCATGTCATGTATCATTAGAAGGATACTTTTTTGTGTGTACAATATTACTATAGCTGTTTCATGTCACTCTATTATAATCTCAAATGTCTACCCATTAAATTATATTTAACACTCTATGACAAACTGCACCACACCTGGCAAATGAAGCTTTGTATTCCAGGGTTAACACAGGCCTGGTCCACCTGACTCAACACTAATAATAATAATAATAATAATAAAGTTGGAAGGGACCTTGGATGTCATCTAGTCCAACCCTCTCTTCAGGCAGGAAACCCTATACCCATGGTGGCGAACCTATGGCACGTGCGCCACAGGTGGCACGCAGAGCCCTCTCTGTGGGCATGCATGCTGTCGCCCCAGTCCTAGGCCTTCAGCTGGGTTTTATAAAACCTTTTCGCTTTAGGCCTCTGCCATGTGCAAAAAAAGAGAGGTTCAATTGATCAATCAATTTCAACTTCTCGTGGGAAAAAAAAAGATCTCGCAGAGTTGGAATTGATTGAATGAACTTTTTAGTCCCACCCAGTCTGCCATTACCACCACAGCCACGCCCATCCAATGGGCCACGCCCATCCAGTTGGCCACACCCACCCAATGGGCCACACCCACCCAATGGGCCATGTCCACCCGGCACCCGATGATACATAAGTGGGTTTTGGGTTGCAGTTTGGGCACTTGGTCTCTAAAAGGTTCGCCATCACTGCCCTATACCATTTCAGACAAATGGCTGTCCAGTCTCTTCTTAAAAACTTCCAGTGTTGGAGCATTCACCGCTTCTGGAGGCAGGTTGTTCCACTGGTTAATTGTTCTAACTGTCAGGAAGTTTCTCCTTAGTTCTAGGTAGCTTCTCTCATTGATTAGTTTCTATCCATTGCTTCTTGTCCTGCCTTCAAGCACTTTGGAAAATAGCTTGACTCCCTCTTCTTTGTGGCAGCCCCTGATACTATCTGTATCCCCTTTTAATAATTGAAAATATGGTGGATGTAGATGCATATGACGATGGAACTGAGCCACAATGAACCAAATGGGATCTTCATGGTTACAGGAGCTGTAGTGGCACAGTGACTAGAATGCAGTATTGCAGGCTAACTCTGCCTACAGCCAGGAGTTTAATCCTGACCTGCTCAAGGTTGATTCAGCCTTCCATCCTTTTGAGGTTGGTAAAATAGAATCCAGATTGTTGGGGGCAATATGATGACATTTGTAAACCACTCAGATGCACTGTGGAGTGCACTGTGTAATGCACTATGGAATGGAAAACAAGTCTAAGTTTCTATTGCTATTGCTACAGACATCCTACTTATTGTGGGGAAAATATTAACATTATTTTACATCTGTTGGGCATATGAGGCTCTGAGGTTTGATCCATTAAAACAATTCTTAGGTCTTCCTGATACTTAGAGCCAGTGAGTGAGTGTGTAATTCTTCTCTGGCTTGCAAGAAAATGAGACCACTATATCTGAATCTTGACAAAGTCCCCCCCCCCCTCAGTAGTAAGGAATAGAGAAAGATCATTAAATATACATAAAGAAGAATATTTGTAGCTCAGCACTGATGATGTTACTGTCAACGCTGCAAATACTGTATATTCTTGCTTTGACAATATGCAGAACTGTCTGGTATTTTTAGAGTTAATGCAGAGCATAAGAGAGAAAGAAAAAGGAAACCTCTGACCTTCACACTAATTGGATAATGTGATATATGACAGCTAATTTAGGGAGGGAACATACTAATAAATTAAATGCTCAGAGGAAGAGAATTTAGATCTTAGCATAAAAAGCCTCCATTATGCCTGTGCCTGACATTTTGTAACAATAAAAGACTTTTAGGAAAATAAATGCCTGGAAGTTCTTTGAAGTGTTTCATTAGCCTGAACCATAACAGTTACCTAGTTTGAATGATGAAACGTCTGCAAGGAAACAACAAAGCTTAGCAAGCACCAAGGACCCCCCCTTTTTTTTAATCCTGAGCTACAAATAGTCTACTTTGCTTTGAGTTGATTTTACTTAGACATTTATCTTTGTATTCTTCCTTAGTTGGTCCACCAGCTCTGGTGCCTTTATATTTGCAGTGGTATGTTTTCTACTTCGTTGTTCAGCGCAAAAAATGGGTGGTAAGTAGTATTTCCACTATGGTTCCAAAAGGAGGTTGCATTTTCATTGTGGCATAATAAAGGGGGCCACAGAAAAAATGTAGGTGGGTTTTTAGGATTCAGTATCTTGGTATGGGATTATAGCATACTATTTGATAGAAATTTCTGTTTTTTTGTGGCAGGATTTGGCTTGGATGGTAACCTTCTATCTTCGATTCTTCATAACATACTCATTTCTACTAGATCTCAAGAGCCTCTTGTGTCTCTTTCTCCTGCTCAGGTGAGTTCCATTTGATCCCACACTTTTCCTGATTTCTTTGGATTGTCATGCCATGTCCTTGTAGGCTTTCTGCCTGATGCAGCCACTTGTATCGGCTTTCAAGTTCTGCAATTCCCAAGACATTCTTAGAGTTGATTTTCACATGGTTGGGAGGACACCAATCGGGGCAAATTGAATAAACACATACATCAATATTCAGAGCCAAAACCAGAATTTTGCTTTCTCTCTTGCTTGAGTGCTCTGGTTCAGACCAGGAATGGAATGCTTCAGCCTTCTCTGAGAAGATGTTGTGGGATGGAGCATGTTCATGTACAATGCCTTTTTGCATCTATGGATGCATTGTGTCTTCTCAGGGGTGCTTTTCAGCAGATGGCAACATCTGTTCAACCTTAGTTGATCTTGGAATGATTCCAAGCAGCTTTGGCCATGGTTATAGTACTACCCTCTGGACGTTTCAGGATTGTTGGTTAAACCTGGAAGTTTTTAAATCTTCCCGGAAGAAGACAAATCCCTTCTATCACATTGCCAAGATATGGCATGTATACACTCATCTAGAGTTGAACTCAACAAGAATATGTCTTTTGCTTTCTTTTTCTTTTAATCAGACTTAGGATCAGGGCTTTCTCTTCACATCTTCCCAGCCATTATACTGACATTTTCTCAGTGGAAAACAAATACTAAATAGGCTACACTCTGAATCTATTTTTTTTACCATGAAGGTTGTTGGATGACGTGCCATCAAGTGGTTTTTGACCCTTAGTGACAACATAGATAGATGTTCTCCATGAGAATAGAGATTAATCTGCTCTAATTCACAGGGAAATCTACAACTCCATAATTGGAATTCTTCCTCTCCCATAAAAAAGGGAACCAATTTGGTGTAATGATTAAGGTGCTGTTCTAGAGACTGTGAGTTCCAGGTCCCCCTTACACATGAAAGGCAGCTGGGTGACGTTGGGCCAATCACTTTCTCTCAGCCCAACTCACTTTTCAGGGTTAATATTGTGGGAAAAATGAGAGGAGAAACTTCATATACAACAGTGTTTCCCAACCTTGGCAACTTTAAGATGTGTGGACTTCAACTCCCAGAATTCCCCAGCCAGTTGAAGTCCACACATCTTAAAGTTGCCAAGGTTGAGAAACACTGATATACACCATTCTGAGTTATACACAATAAAGATGGGAAATTATTGTTAGGGTTATTGTTAGCTGTTAACAATAAACATTGTTGTTATAATTATTATTAATAATAATAGAAGTTCTTACTATGCCACAGTTACTCTGATTAATCATGATCATGAATTCTTCAGTACCTCTTTTTTTTTTTTGCTAGGTTAGTTTGTTTTTGTTTAATTTTCATATTTGGTTAGTTTGTTTTTGTTTAATTTTCTTCTCGTTACATTTTCCCCTAATTCTGCCCCTCTCCTGGTGCTTCTCTGCTACTTCCAAACTGCTTTATTTGTACTTTTGTGTAGGCTGCAAAAATTGTAATCTGCCTTTATTTTTGTTGTGTAGAGTCATAGAAAGTCACTGGTTTGTCTGGGTGACACAAATGAACCACATCCCAATGACCATTGATTATGATAAGAACATGGACTGGCTTTCAATGCAGGTGAGATGCACAATCTCCCCAACCCTTACTTCAGGTGACATATCTGTTCATATATAAATGCAGTATAATAGATGGGGTGGAAGAAGGCAAAAGGGAAAAATGACATTCTCTTTCTGAGGAAGAAGTCTGGTGTGAGACAAGAATTGTCTGATCTCAAGCTTTGATAGTTTTTAGATATGAGGTATGATGAAATAGATTTTAGCCCTTAAAAATCCCCCTCTCCAAAAAAATATTTGGACATACAGGACAAGATCTGCCCCGGGAATAAAACACTCCACTAGACTAGTCAGGTATCTGCAGATCTTTGAAGGGCTTTTGGGGTTGAGATCTGGTTGAGATTTCCTGCTACTCTCTGAGATTACAAAGGTTGTATTAAGAAACATGGTTTATCATTTAAGGAATAGCCATATGTTTGTGGGGTTTATTTTTCCAGGGGCAGGATGATCAGACTCATTGCAGCCATAACCTAGAACTCATGTTGTTAATGCCACTGCTTCGTTGCTGGCTTTCTGCAGTTCAGATTGCAAGTGGGAAAGCATAATTGTTTTGTAATAGTCTTGATAGCATTCATGGGTGCAAATCAGGACAAAGTCCTGAGTCCATTATAAGCAGAATATTTATAAAGTGAACCATTACAATAACTCACTCATGACAGTGAGTTCTAAGGATATCAGTTTATGCCATCCAGAAAAGTAGAACCTAAGCCTAGCTCTAATTCAGGGCACAAACAAAATCAGGGTTCTAGAAAGTGGAGACAAATCTTAAAGTTGTGATCATTGTAGACAGCTTTCTGCTCATAAGAGACTCACCATGGAGTTCTCACGCTGTTTTTATTTTGATCCAAAGTATAAAACTCTCTTCTTGTTTAGAGTACAGATTGAGACAGCTGTGAGCATGGAAATGTCCAGCCTGAAATAAAATTAACTCATTCTTAGAGTTGGCTTATTCCTCTCTTTCTTCCCTTTTCAGCTCCAGGCAACATGCAATGTAAACCAGTCTTTATTCAACGACTGGTTTACAGGGCACCTCAACTTCCAAATTGAGCATCAGTAAGTACATTTGCCTTAGGGGAAATGGAAATTTGGGGAGGAGTTTCAAATAACCCAGAGCCTGGAAAATAAAGGGGATATTGCTTGATAATTGTGTTTGTTACATCTTCCACTGTTGTTCACACCGTATTTGTCTTCTGAAGTTTCACATATCAGCCTTTCTGAAGTTTCACATAGGATCCTGAATGAAGAGGAACATAAGTGTTATGTAGATTAAAAATCTTCAATGAGATCTCCAAGGTTCCTTCAACCCCATTATTCTATGTTCTAATAAATCATCCGAATCATTCCAAGGAATATCAGTTTGACTTTCACATCTTTCATCATTGCCTCACCTAGAACAAATTTCCTCTACCCTCTTTTCTGAGAACTTAACCTGAATCCTTCTACTTTCTCCCACAAAGCCTGTTCTTTGTTCTTTAGCCCTTAAGCTTCTTGCCCCTTTGCCTGCTTATTCTCCAAATGTTCATCCTTATTTTTTCTTGAGGAAATCAAACTGCCTCTCCCCCCTCTTTCATTCCTCCTGATATCCCAGATCTAATATCAAAACCAATTTACTCTCAACAAAACCTCATACTTTAATGGGGCAATACTTTCTATCTGTCCTTCTCCTCTCTGGCCAGGTATGCCTTCCATCAACATGGTCTTTCCTCACCCTTTCTTGCTCTTAATAATAATAATACTAATAATGATAAAGTTGGAAGGGACCTTGGAGGTCATCTAATCCAACCCTCTGCTCAGGCAGGAAACCCTATACCATTTCAGACAAATGGCTGTACAGTTTCTTCTTAAAAACGTCCAGTGTTGACGCATTCACCGCTTCTGGAGGCAGGTTGTTCCACTGGTTAATTGTTCTAACTGTCAGGAAGTTTCTCCTTAGTTCTAGGTTGCTTCTCTCTTTGGTTAGTTTCCACCCGTTGCTTCTTGTCCTGCCTTCAGGCGCTTTGGAAAATAGCTTGACTCCCTCTTCTTTATGTCAGCCCCTGAGATATTGGAATACTGCTATCATGTCCCCCCTCATCCTTCTCTTCATTAAACTAGACATACCCAATTCCAGCAACCGTTCCTTATATGTTTTAGCTTCCAGTCCCCTAATCATCTTTGTTGCTCTTCTCTGTACTCTTTCTAGAGTTCAGCATCTTTTTTACATCATGGTGACCAAAACTGGATGCAGTATTCCAAGTGTGGCCTTACCAAGGCATTGTAAAGTGGTATTAACACTTCACATAATCTTGATTCTATCCTTCTGTTAATGCAGCCTTTTTGGCAGCTGCAGCACACTGCTAGCTTATATTTTAAGTAATTGTCCAGTAGGACTCTGAGATCCCTCTCACGGTTATTACTGTTGAGTAAGGTACCCCCCATACTATACATGTACATTTGGTTTTTCTTGCCTAAATGTAGAAGCTTACTTTTTTCACCATTGAATTTCATTTTGTTAGATAGCTCCTCAGGTTTTAAAATAGTGTGAGTGGCTGGCCTATAAAGGCTGTATATGACTCAGTCAGTTGACATCCAGACTTGCCAGGCTCCTAGAGATAACATGGCTATAAATCACATTTTTTCTATTGCAGGAGTTTATAACAGAAATTTAATTATTTTTCATTGAGAGAAAGCAGTTCAGGACTTTTCTGCATTATAGCAAATTGTTCATGCAGATCAGCCGTCATAATTTATAACCACTCAGATTTTGAATATTTCACACTCTCTTGCCATCCACCCTTTTTGTCAAGGAGACTTGGATTTCCTCTAACTCTCCTTGTGTCAATGATAGATTCTTGTTCTATTCTCCTCCTTCTAGGCCTCCCATTCAGATAGTTCGATCTTTCAGCCACTGAACCCTGACAAGACCCATTACAATAACCTGTGAAGATGGTCAAGGGAAAAAGATGGCGAGACATAACCATAGCAGAAAAACTCAGTATGCAGGCAGTCTTAGATATGTTTCTGCCTGTTTTCCTTAAGAACTCAATCAAGCTAGGCAAGAGATGCCAGAACTATGCTTAGGTGCTTCTTCTAAACCAGTGGTTCTCAACCTTTTTAATGCCGCGACCCCCCCCAACCGGTTGTAAGTCGAGGACTACTCAACCGGTCGTAAGTCGAGGACTACTCAACTGTGCAGCACCGTTTGCAGAATGGGACTTTTGGTGGGCTCAGCAGGGCAGAGACAGCCTGGACAATTCCTATTGGCTTTTGAAAGCCAATAGAATTAGACTCTATTCAAGAGAGTCTGTTCTACTGGCTTTCAAAAGCCAATAGAATAAAAGGGAGTAGCACAGCTAAGGAAAAGGGAAAAAAAATGGTGGACTGTGTTGTTTGGCGACCCCCGTGAAATGGTCGTTCGACCCCAAATGGGGTACTGACCCACAGGTTGAGAACCACTGTTCTAAACCTTTCTGTTCAGCTCCTTTGGGAAGAGGTTGTTGGGCTTGAAGGCCTGCCTATCTCATAGTTAATAAGAAGGGGAGCACTAAACTGCACAACATCTTACGGTCTCTCTCTCTCTCTCTTCTTTCATGTAGCCTTTTTCCCACCATGCCTCGACATAACTACTGGAAAGTGACCCACTTGGTGAAATCCATTTGTGCAAAGCATGGTATCCAATATCAGTCTAAGCCTTTGCTCACAGCCTTTGCAGATGTTGTATGGTAAGCATTGGCTCTTGTAAGAAGGTTGAACCTTTGTTGCCCCAAAGGTGGTTTTCCAAAAGGCAACTGGAGTTACTTGTTTTTTTCTTTGAAAATGTTTCGCTTCTCATCCAGCTTCTTTAGCTTCTTAGATGAAAGTGAAACGTTTTCAAAGAAAAAAAATCCAAGGAAATCCAGTTGCCTTTTGGAAAAGCACCTTTGGGACAACCATAACCTGGGTGACAGAGAATCTCCACAGATATTTGTTGGAAAAGCAATTTCGCTCATGGAAAGTGTAAGGAAGATAATTTGACAGAAATATGTAAGAACTATTAGCTAGACAAAGGAGGTTGAAATGAAATAATCTTCAGAATCAGCTCAGGCAAAGGTCGCCCTGATTAACTGAACTATAAAGAAGAGGAACAGGAGGAAGTACATTGACTAATGACCATAATGTAGCCTGCTCATCACAATTATAAGTCATAACAGTCATAAAACAGGTCGATCAAAGATCTAGAAATGTCCTGTGTGGCCTGGCATTTATGCAATAATGGTAAGATGAGGCTACAGATGTCTCTGTAATACGGGCACTGGAAAAGCACCTGTTCTATTGTTTCAGTGTGTCCAGGAGCCTGGTCTCACTGGGTAAGGAATCTTCCTGTATCAGCCTTCATGGAGAGCTGAGGGGAGGGCATGACATCATGCCAGAGTAAAGGCCCTCCAGTGTTTAGATACGATAAGTATAGTTTATTGATTGATTGATATTTATTTATTAAATAAATAAGTTGACTCTGGATGGCTTACAGTGTTAAAAAGAGTAAAACAATACAGAAACATATCTATAAAAATAAAACTATAAAAATACAAACTATCAGCTATAATTAAAAGATGGGAGGGAGGGAGTAGGATGAGCAGGATGGTAGGGTGGGGGTGGTGGAATGTGTTATTAATCTATCAGCCACCTGTAGTGTGAGAGTCCCCCATTGGCTAAGCATGCCAAGGGAAGGCAATGTATCTGTTGTCCGAGCTAGATGCAATTAGTGCTCTGTGTCTGCTACACATAGAAGAATCCTGGGTAGCAAAATATGGATCACTGGCAATCAAGAATCATAACTTTTTAGCAGAAGTGTCCTTTGGCTTGTTTAAGGAAAGAAAAGGTGAGGTGTGCTGTTCCTTTTGTGCTTCTGGTTCTCTTAAAGTCCCCTCAGATTGGGAAGCAGGTGAGAGCATACCTTTCTGTGAAGATACTGCTTGTCTGGAGTTTATTTTGCTTCCAAGACAGATTCTTTTGGCATCAGCTACTTGAAGTTGTCTGGATTCTTTGAATACTGCTGGTATGGAACTCTCAGTGGAATCAGTGCCAGAGTCACTTTCACTGTTATTGGTGAGGAAGTGTGCTGATAGCTTTTTCCTGCATGAGTCAAAAGAGAGAAAGGTTTAGATTAGAAGGTTAGCAGCTTAATAGGGCAGGTGTTGGTGCTGGACATCTATATTTCTACCAGCACTGAGTACAGTATGTGTCAGAATTGTTGTTTTGATGTCTGCTAGCTTTTGTCTTAGATTTCTCAAAATGTGTTCTGTATTTTTATAGATTTAACTTCCTACTTTAAAGTGTGCTTTGACATGGCTGGAAGATTTACTGACATGCAACTGCCTGCAGATTTACTGCTACTTACATTTTTATGGCTCTTATGACAGGATCAGGAGCCATTTGTTACTTTCCAGTAATGAGGTCACAGACTAACTTATTCTTAAAGACTCTGGCACTTTGGATGTGATGAGTCTGCCAAAAGATGGATTTCTAGGAGTTGTTTTTTTGTACTACACAGCAGTAGTTGGGCGCAATGACTGCTTCCAGATGCTCTGTTGATATTGTAGGACATACTGCCAAAATGCCAATGGGGCCAGCTTCTGCTGCCATTTTAACCCCCTGATTGTCACGGAGGATTTGCAATTCAAGCTGTCTGCCTTGACTGTAGTATGATTTAAATTTTATGCTATAAAGATTTCTGCAGACAAAAGGCAGACCACATGGAAAGGTTGAGTAATGTGATTGTGGGAAGTGTATGTGACTTGTTTCAGGAGGTTATCTTCCCTACTTCCCTGCTCTGGAGGGTACTCTGGCTGAAGCTTTGGAAGACTAGGAGCCTGACTTGCTCCTTAGGGATTAAGGAGATCTTGAAACTGTACATCTGTTACTCATATTTTGCATTGTCTCTGCGGTGGGGAGATAGTCAATCCTCATCTCTCTCCTTACTGGAATATTGGACCCCAGTATCATTACTGGGGCTGGTCCAGGTTCCTTTCTTCCTTCTGGATGGCGTTTTTAGGCCATAGGACTGAGTCAGAAGGGATAAGGATAGCCACAGATCAGGAGCTTATTACAGGAGCTGCTAGTCTGTCACCACCTTTGATTCTCCAATTGTCTTTGAGGAAGTCTTAGAGTTCTGAGATTGCACTGGTAGGGGTAGCATATAGAAAGGAAATGCCAGTGAATGGCATGCAAATTGATGTAAGCACATGAGAAATCTCATATGATTATTTGGTTCCCACAAGTCACAAACAAATATGTGAACTGAATCTATTGAAAATTATAGCCTTATATTCTGGTTTCTCTTCAGATCATATACATCTTTCCCCTTTTACTATTGAAAATTATAGTCTCAAAATGTGATGAAAACACTGCCATGACTTATTCACTGAATGGTTTATTCAAACATGCAAGCCTCTATTTCATCATACAGATAGTTGTTGATTAATGACCACTCACTTAGCAAATGTTCAGAATTGTGATTGTGCTGAACGAATAGTACTTACAACCAGTCCTTGAAATTCTGAGCATCACAGCAACATCCCCCCTGCCAGATCATGTGACTGTGATTTGGGCATTTGGCAACCAGTTCACACTTACAACAGCATCTGATGGCCACATTATCATTCCCAGGAGGGAAGGTTGCAAGTCATTTCTGCTGCTTTTTTTCTGCTCCTTTTTTTTCCTGAGGAACCTGCTATATAGAGAAAGAGATCTCAGGGATCTTGTACTTTATAGCATGCATCTGCCCACAGTGTTCCCTGCACAAATTGTGTAGCAACCCCCTTCACCTGGCTGTGCTTGCATGGTGCCACAGCATCCCCTCCCTCACCCAGCCACACTTGCTTGCACAATGCAGCACTGTCTCCTCACTCACCTGGCTGCACTCCATAGCACTTGCTGGCCTGCCAGCCTGCTTGCAGGCTGCCTGAGACTTCGCTTCTTGGAAGCTGGCAGGAAATCGCAAGTTATAGTCATATGAGATCCTTGCTTAACGACTTGCAATCTTCACTTAACAATGCCAATGGGGACTGCAAGGAGTGTCATGGCTAAACAATGCATTTAGGTAATGTTGTGCTTTACGACCATATTGCTTAGTGACAGAAATTCTGATCTCAGTTGCTGTTGTAACTTGAGGACTACCTGTATATCATTTCATGATAAGTCTATGTACATGAATAAGCCCTGTGGTTTTCTCCAGCCGATAATACTGCCTTATTCCCTGTAATTTAATTCTCCCCAGTCCATGTTATTCCATTTTGGATGATCCTTACATTTCTTATACTACCATTCACATCTGTTCATTGGTGTATACCCCACATTTCCTTGCTCAATAATTAATGCTTCTTTGTGATATCATAGTGCCTGAGCTGGCTTTGTCTCTTTTCTACTCTTTCTTCTAGCTCTCTCAAGGAATCGGGGCAGCTGTGGTTGGATGCCTACTTGCACAAGTAGGAGCCAAACACCATCCCGTGGGGGACAGCTTCCCATCCTTGTCACCTCCACAATTGAAAAAAGCAAGCGTCTGGTTCAGTTGGGGAAGATTACCCTTGTGGGCAGAATTCTGAAACCTGGTGTTGCTGCTCCTAATGTTCTCCTGTTTTCCTTTTTAACTTGTGCATCTACCATCTCTCTTACCATCTGAAAATTTGTTCAAAAATGCATATTCTCCAGCCTTCAGGACCAGAAAGCAATACCAGGAAAGGCCTTCGCTGCCACTTCGCTAAACTTGGTGTTTAGCAAAACAACAACAACAACAACAACAACAACACAGCCTTAATTGCCTATTCCTTACAAGAACCTATTTTGTGGAAGCAGTTGAAAGAAGAGAACCTGGAAAGAGAAATTCAGGAACTGGGAATAGAAACTCCTGGTAGGGGAGATTCGAGCCATAGCTTTAGCATTGGAGACTTTTGGAGAAGGAAGAAACAAAGGAGATTACAGGGGCCAAGAGCCTTGATTGAAATACAGCAGCATATGAAGGAAATAAATCAATGATTTATTTGAGCAGAAATCAGTCAGTTCCTGGATGTAATTCACTAGAGAATAGTTAGGCAAGGTTAATTATAGGGAGGAAAAGAGGATTGTCTTTTGTGCCACAACTCCCTGACATTCCTGGATGTACTTTACATAAAAGGATAAAAAACATAATATAATTATCCACATGCCTCTTCTATAAGTGTACAAGATAAGTTAGTGAAAGGAGACTAATGAATGTTGATGGACTTATTATTAATTATTAGTGCAAATAAATGCTGTTAGTTTTTGGGAAAATCTGTTATATTTTGGAGGTGCAAGAGGAGAATTAAAACAAATCTTTCGATATTGTTCATTTATTATGGCCACTTTTTATGCCTGAATTAAATTTTGTTTTCCAGAAGGGCTAAGTCTCTAAACCAGTGTTTCTCAACCTTGACAATTTTAAGGCATGTGGACTTCAACTCCCAGAATTCCACAGCCAGCAATGCTGGCTGTGGAATTCTGGGAATTGAAGTCCACATGCCTTAAAATTGTCAAGATTGAGAAACACTGCTCTAAACTTTTTGACCTGTTGACTTCAGCTCCCAGAATTCCTGAGCCAGTATGGCTACCAACCATCCCCAAAGTTGTGTGCTGCTTTTTGATCCTCATGCAAGTTGGCAAAGCCAAGTCTTCATGTTCTTCCTCAGAAAAATGGGCACCAATATCACCTCTGGGGGCAAAATGTTCCACAGGGTGGGGCAATGGCAGAGAAGACTGTCCTCCTAGATCCCAGCGTCAGATTTCTTTAACTGAAGGGATCCATAAGATACCCTCTCAGCATGACTAGATGGTATGGGCTGAGGTAATTGGGGCAAAACGGCTTCTCAGATAACTGGTCCCATGCCATGAATGGCTTTAAAGATAACAGTCCACACCTTGAACTGAAAGCAAACTGGCATCCAATGCAGTTCACACAGCAGAGGTGTTATAACACAGTCCTTGGGGCACCCAGAACAGCTCACTTGCCCACATTCTGCACCAGCTGCAGCTTCCAGATTCTCTTCAAGGATACATGTAGGGCACATTGTAGCGTAAGTTGATCGATGCTACTAAATGATCCATACTACTAAATGAACACAGATGAAAATATTGTTTCTGTTGTTAAATGGGTGGATTGTACTATGTTTTATTGCATACACTTTATATGGGCATTACACAGATTATCCAAAGTTATCCATGTAATACAATTGTCAATTACTTCGCTGCCTTGAAGCTAAACAAGAGCCAGGTATCTTCCCCAATTATTTTCCCATAATCATGCTAGGAATATTGTGTCCAGTTCTGGGTAATTCAATTTAAAAAGGACAATAAGAATTGAAGAGAAGGGCTACCAGGTTGGGGGAAGGATCAGGAAACCAAGCAATATGGGTAATGTGTAAAAGGAATTTCTGAGTATCTTCAGCCTAGAGAAAAGACAGCTTACAGAAGACGTGATAGCCCTCTTTTAAGTATTTGAAGGGCTGTTACATAGAAAAAGAGCGGACATGCCCTATTGCCCCAGAGACCAGAACCAGAATTGATAGGTTAAAATTACATGGAAGGAAGTTCAGACAAGCTATCAAGAAGAAGTTTTCCAACTGTGTAGACTTAGTCAATAGAAAGCTTGCTATATGAGATGGTGAGTTCTTCACTAGAAGTATTCAAATGAAGGATGAGATGCTCAGACATGTTCAAGTGGATTCTGTATAAGGATAGCTTCATTCTTTGCATTGCTTCCTGATATCCTCACTCAAATTGTTGGCAGATGTACTGGATCGTGCAGAAAGGTTTGGGTGGAGGGCCCCAGATTCTCATGAGGTATGAAAATTCTTGCTTACTTGACAGCTAAGTGTGAATTCCTGTGACATTAAATTGCTTTTATCTTGTGTTTTTACAGCTCATGCTCTAAGTCACATCACTAATTTATTCTGTGAATTTCAAAACAATTTTGAAATGTTTTTCAAAGTCATTGTTTAAATGTCTATCACATCTTCTACAAACTTGTTTGGAAAGGCCATTTAATTGCTACTTAGTTTTGAGCAATCTGTCACTGCTGTAATATAAATATTTTTTGTGTGCTAGCACTGCTGATTGCCAGCAAGCAAGATAGTTAATTGGGTGCCGTCACAGTCCAGAGATATGCAAACTCAGACAGATGTTTTAGAAGTGAAGAATCCTTTTTACCAATAGGATTTGTATAGTATTTGGGTGAATATTAGAGGGGAAAAAATGACATTTTATACATGTGTACTACAGGCCATCCATTCAAGCAAGCAAAGGAAATAGATGAACCTTTTGCTAATCAGTTAGTTGAAGGGCGTGGGAAATATGCCACTATAGTAATGGGGGACTTTAACTACCCTGACATCAATTGGGAAACAAACTCTGCAGTGAGATCAAACAGACTACTGAAAAATGAGATAATAAAGGCCCAAGCAAAAACAATACCACAGAGATAGAAAAACAAGAGATTCCAGATGAAACTAGCATGGTTATACAAAGAGCTTTCTGAAAAACTGAGGGATAAAAAGAGCAAGTATAAAAAATGGAAAGAGGGACTTCTAACTAGAACAGAATATTAGCAAACAGCCCATATCTGCAAGGATGGAATCAGGAAGGCTAAGGCTTAGAATAAGCTAAGACTTGCAATGAATGCTAAAAAATAACCAAAAAAGTTTCTTTCAATATGTAGGGAACAAGAAGAAAGTCAGGGAAATAATCAGCCCATTAATCGGAGAAGATGGCAAGAAGGTAACAGGTAGCAGGGAGAAAACAACTGCTGAATTCCTTCTCCCTATCTGTCTTTATGGAAAAGGAAAAATAGTACAACCTATCAAAACCATCACCAGATAGAACAGGAAGGCAGGTCAAAATAGATGAGGAATTTGTAAGAGAACACCAATCCACTTTGAATAAGTTGAGATTTCTGGGACCAGATGGTTTACAACCCAGGGTACTGAAGGAGCTGGCAGATGTGACCTTGAAACCAATGAATAGCAATAGTACTCAGCCTTATATTCCATTTCATAGTGCTTTAGAGCACTCTCTGAGTGATTTACAAATGTCAGCATATTGTCTCCAACAATCTGGCTCATTTTACTGACCTCAGAAGGATGGAAGACTGAGTCAACCTTGAGGATTTAACTCCTGGTTGTGGGCAGAGTTAACCTGCAATACTGCATTCTAACCACCGCACCACCACAGCTTATGAAAGAAATGAATCTGAGTGGATTGAAGGTGCCTCATCAAATCAAGCTAGGGGGAATTACTAACAGTGTTAAGATTCAGAAGGATCTTGACAGATTCAGCATTGGGCCCTATCCAACAAATGCAATTCAGTGGTGAGAAAAATAAGGTCCTGCACTTAGGCAGGAAAAACCAAATACACAGACAAGAATAGGCAGTACCTCTGAGAGGAATCTAAGTGTCCTGGACTATTGTTTAATTATGAGTCAGCAGTGTGCTGCAGCTGCCAAAAAAGTAGTCCTAGGCTGCATCAACAGGGGGATAGCACTGAGATCATGAGAAGTGATAGTACCACTCTATACTGCACTAGTGAGGCCGTACTTGGAATACTACATGCAGTTTTGTTCACCACAATACAAAAAAGATGCTGAGGCTCTAGAAAGAGTGCAGAAAAGAACAACAAATATAAAGGGTCTGGAGGCTAAATCGTATGATGAATGGCTAAGGGAACTAGGTAAATTTAGCCTTTGCTGTTATGCTTTTAAAACAGGGGTGTCAAACTGCCGGCTTTTTAACACCTTATCACGTTCTCCCATCTGAGTCTTCACTTCTGTAATATTTCATGTCATATCCTGACTTTGTTTCGCCAGATCTGCTATTCTTACATTCATATTATTCATTTTATCTTTTATATGCTTCAAATCCTTCTTTATATTTGTCTTCATTTCTTTTATATTTATCTTCATTTCTCTTAACTCTTGTAAGAGAATGTCAAGTTTACCTGGTTGAGTCAGTGACTTCTCAGGTGATTTTTTTTCCTCACATCCATTTCTAAGGCTTTTTCCACTTGAATCAGACATAAATCTGAAGATCTAAGGCCTGCTTTGGGTCTTTGCCAAATACTTTCTGCACTTTGACTGTGTTTTGACATCCAACCACCAAAAAGAGTTCTTAACCTTCTAAGACTTTTTACACAGTCTATAGTCCATACACATCACTTCCTCCCTTTATCTTGTCCTTATCAACTTATCTCCATGAAAGCAGCATAATGAGAGTAAATAAATCCAAAGGCAGCAGTTATCTTTATTATACATGCCTTATCAAGGCTCTGTCTTAAAGTTATTTAATACTTTCACTTTTTCCAGATCTCAACATTCAACTTATAAATCAGCTATTATTTCTTCAACTATACTCCTTTAAACTCTCTCCAAATTCTTTCTCCTATCAGTCTTCAATCGTAGGGCCCCTCCTCTCCCCATCAGCCTTCAAAAGCCTCTCAAGTCTCTTAGCCAAACATCCAAATTCAAAGCTTCTCTGGGAGAATGTCCAAAACCGAATCAAATACAATCCAAACTTCAGGAGAAAAGCAAGGGAAGTAACTCACGTTTCATAATTTCTTAAATTTTCATAGTCCTTAATTGGGTGTTACATTTTCTAATCAATTCTCTGTGATGGCCCGGAGGAGGCAGAAATTCAGGTCCATCATTTATCCGAGCTAGCTTCGCCCCCTGGAAATGAAATGTTTTCAATGAAAAAAAACCCAAGAAAGTTCAGTTGCCTTTTAGAAAAGTGTGCCTTTAAGACAGTGTTTCTCAACCTTGACAATTTTAAGGCATGTGGACTTCAACTCCCAGAATTCCACAGCCAGCAATGCTGGCTGTGGAATTCTGGGAGTTGAAGTCCACATGCCTTAAAATTGTCAAGGTTGAGAAACACTGCTTTAAGACAACCATGGCCTGGATGATTGAGAATCTCCATAGACATACACACAGACAATGGCACTGAAATAACATATGCTCACAAAGAATAAGCACAGACCAGGTTGTCTCAAAGTGCTTTTTCAAGAGGCAACTGAACTTTCCAAAGTCCAATTGCCTCTTGAAAAAGCACCTTTGAGACAATAATGACCATGGATGACTGAGAATTTCCATAAACAAAGATCAGGTTGCTTCCTGAAGAATTTATAAGCTAAATTCTACACTATGGCAATAATGGAGAAAGGCAATAATAGGAAGAAAAAAAAAGTAAGACACAATAGGGTCTTTCTGTGCTGATTTATTAATTATTAGAGAGTGTAGTAATATTTAGCTGTCCTTGATTGATTTGATGAGGCAAACATGCTCAGAACTAGTTAGTAGTTGGAGAGGAATTACCTGGGAATCCCAGGGTTATAGACTGAGATGTCCCTTCATACACACCCCAAATCAGAAATAGACAACAGCAAGTAACCTCTGTATGATTGCCAAACTGGACCTGAACCCATCTTTTTTCTAATCAAAGAAATCAATTTAGCCATTTCAGAAAGTTTCATCATCTTTATCAACCATTTCTCCATTGTGGATAGCGTTGAATATTTCCATCTTTGTGCATGCAATAATCTTACTGCAACTATCATATATGAAAATAAAGATCCATAACTTTTTTCAATTGTTTGCCCATCAATCCCAAAAGAAAAACCTCTGGTTTCAATTGTATATTAATCTTTAAAATCTTCTGAATCAGTGCATGCATGTGAATCTAGAATTTTCTAAACAAGTCCAAAACACGACAAAATATTTCTTCTTGTTGTTCACATTTCCAGTATAAATTTCAAGTGCCTGTATATGTTCTAGATCAGTGGTTCTCAACCTGTGGGTCGTGACCCCATTTGGGGTCGAACGACCATTTCATGGGGGTCGCCAAACAACGCAGTCCGGCATTTTTTCCCCCCTTTTCCTTGGCTGTGCTACTCCCTTTTATTCTATTGGCTTTTGAAAGCCAATAGAATAGACTCTCTTGAATAGAGTCTAATTCTATTGGCTTTCAAAGCCAATAGGAATTGTCCAGGCTGTCTCTGCCCTGCTGAGCCCGCCAAAAGTCCCATTCTGCAAATGGTGCTGCACCAGTTGAGTAGTCCTCGACTTACAACCAGTTGAGTAGTCCTCGACTTACGACCGGTTCGGGGTCGCGGCATTAAAAAGGTTGAGAACCACTGTTCTAGATAATTTCTCTTGTGACATGTACCAATAGTACATCATTTTGTAAAAAAATTCTTTAAGGTTATAACATAGTGTAAATTTCAATACATATTTTCCCATAGTTCCCATTGTATATTAAAACCAAATTTTTAGCTCATAGTGTCATGCATTCTTTCACTTGTTCTTTTTCTGTTTTACATTTCAGTGAGATTGTATACATTTTAGCAACAACATGCTTATCATTTATACACAGTTCTGTTTTAAATTTAGCCTTACAATGTTCATAACCATAAATACTTTCTATTTTAAATCTGTCTAACAATTGTAAATAAGAGAACCGTTGACAACTATATACTTTTGCCCCTAGTTATTCTCTTGATTTTATTTACCAAACTTTCACCCCTGCCAGTGCTGCCCATATTCCTGCAAGCTGCTGCAGAAAGACAAAAGAGAAAGGGATTGATGGCAGTGAGAACATCTTCTCCAGGCAATCTCTTCTGTGCTCTTTCTGGCTGCAGCTTCTCCTGGATAAGCCAGTGCCCAAAAGGAGCCTCCCTCAGCTGTGAACTTATTTTTTTCTAGCTGGTAAGACAATGAGTTAATCCTTGCAAAGAATCAAGGTTTTGCTCTTTCCCAAAGATGTGACCAGACAACTTAGTGGCAATCAAAGACTGTATTCAAAGACTTGGTGCTCCAAAACATTAATGGATGGAGTGAAAGAAAAACGGTGCCTCTAAGCAGAAATGGAAATATTCTCACTTGAGCAGGGATATGGCTCACATGAGACATCCAGAGAAACCATATGGCTTCCATGCAGAAATAAGTAATTATGAGAAATAAAACAATAATAATTAGAAAGTACACTTTGAGAAAATACACATTTTTGATGTTTTTAAATAGGTTGTCTGGGACAAACTTGGTTATTTTCTTAAGGGTTTTCTATAAGGGCTGATTTCCAACCTATAAGAAAAGCTTTTCTGGCAAACCTCACTTGTCTCCAGACTTTCCTTTTTTCTTCTCTCTTTTCCTTTACAAACATCCCACTTATCTTCCAGTGGAAGACAGGTAAGAAAATGGGAGTAAGATACTCAGTAACCATTGCCTGTAAATGTCTCTTATTCAGGGAGGTATTTATTTAAGTATATGTCAAATGTTTAATGTCTCCTAATGCACAGAGAACCAATATTCCCAGGGATACTGGCACTGTGGAAATCCTGATGTCAGACTTTCATTCTCAAGCTAGAGCAGTGCACCCTCTCAACTCTTTACCAATAACAACCGATTGTTGGCTTATTGCCTATGAATCACCCATCTGCTGATGCCAAAAAGTTTTTTAGAGAAGGAAGCTTTGGGAAAGTTCATTGTGCATCAAGATTTAGAAACACCGATTGTTGATTATGTGCCATCAAATTGCTTTTGATTTCTGGGGAACACATAGATAGATTTTCTCCATGATCCCTCAAAAAGACTTTCAAGTCTTCTAGTGGTGCATTAATTCCCAATGAAATTGAGTCCATCCAACTCTTCTTCTCTTTCCTTCCAACTTTCCCAGAACTACAGCCTTTTCCAGAGAGTTAGGTCTTCATATAATGTGTCCAAAATAGAATAATTTGAGCCTGACCATTTGTGTCTCTAGGGAGAACTCAGGGTTGGTTGGTTTGATGATCCACTGGTTTCTGATTTAACAGATACTTCATTTATTGTTTTGTCTTTCCCTCTACCTTATTGCTGAAACTGTTTATACAATTTTAGCTTGACCTGCTGAAAAACTCTTAAACATGTAAAATTCTGTCACCATGCCATTTAATTGCATTTAGACTACAGCAAATTTTCATAGATCTTTCAGTATTTTCTGTTACAGCTTAGAAAAAACATCTCTTTCAAGTCCCATTAGCTGAGATACAGCTGTGGCCAACAACATTCGATCAGTTGTTCTGAAAAGTTTGTTTCTAGGCTTCCTTCCCCCCCCCCCCCAAAGCTACCAGTAAGATGTGTGTTTTGCCACTCTAATGCTTAAGCGAATAAAAGCTGTTTCAGATTGTGACAGTCTCCTTTCTGTGCAGCGAGTAGAAATTCTCAACCTGTGGTATTTCAGGGATGGAGAGAAAGCAGGCAGAGATGAATCAACAGTGACTCTGAATCCCACACCAGTCTGTTCTCCAAAATAAACAAATACTGGCAACAGCTGATTTCAATTTAATCGCTACCCGCTGGGGAAGGCAACATTTCAAAATACAATCACTCACCCCAACCGGCAGCCTGCTTCTCCTTTGTACTCGAAATTCCGAACATCCCAGGCTCGCCCGAGTTGGCTTTTGCGGCACTTCCCTCTCCGCGTTTGTTCTCCACGAGAGCAGCGCCAGTGAAACTCTGTTGGCCAATCAGAGACGGAGAAGGGGGGAATCTCAGGACCCGCCCAGTCCGCCCTCCCGGTGGTGCTGAAAAGGACAGTGCCAGGTTCCCCGAAGCCTCAGTCGGGGGGGAGATGGCTTCCCAGCAAGGAGAAACCGGGGTCAGGCAGAGGAGGGAGGCTGATCCCGCGGCCGATCTGTCCGGCCCTTCGCGGTGGTTTACCTGGGACGAGATCGGGCTGCGCACTGGCCAGGGAGACCCGCCACAGGAGCGCTGGCTGGTGATCGACAGGAAAGTCTATGACGTCAGCCGCTTCTACAGGAGGCACCCAGGGGGTTCTCGGACCATCGCAAGCTACGCGGGGCAGGACGCCACGGTAAGGCGCGCGGCAAGTTGTAATTAGTTTGGTCTTTTTTATTTTTAATCCCATTTTCCACTGTGCTCCTTGACTTTTATTACTAAAATTTGCAGATTTTCTGTATATTCGGTTTCAGGATAGGGCTACCAGCATAATATAGGCTATTAATGTTTCTTCCTCCAATGTTAAAACCATGCCCATCATTTTCTAACCCAGTCCCCCTTAGTATATATTCAGCATATAGGTTGAATATAAGGGTCAAATACACAGCCTTGTACCTCTTTGCTAACCTGGAGCCAGTCTGTTTTATCATGTTCTGACTGTACTGTGGCTTCCTGATTGTATGTAAGTTTCTCATGAGGACAACCAGATTCTGGAGTTCCCATTTTTCTGAGCACTTTTTATAATATATGAAGCACATATTGACTTCTTTTTGCTAGACTTTGGCTTTCTCAGTTATTTACAAAGTATTCCATTTATTCTGCTCTGTTTCCCAATCTGAAGGATGGAGCCAAACAGCCAAACAAATATTGCAAATCCCAGTGTTAATTTAAATAGAAATGAGAGAAATAAAGCAGGAATCCTATCTACAAAATGGTGCAGTGAAATCAGCACACACATTCATTCTTTCTCTTTTACATTCTCACACACATATCATTTCTGATATAGACTATATTTTTAAGAAAAAATAAGAAAAAACAATGTAAATCTATAATCTATAGGCTAGCTTTTCTTAGAATTGTTGGTAAAATGTTGCAATTTCCTTGTTTTTACAGTTTCACCAAAAATAAAAGTGAAGATCAGAACAAAAAAAAAATCCTTCCAACTAGATAGATAAATAACCTTTATTGTCATTTTTTTTACTGTGGGCACAATGACACATATCAAAAATGAAATTGCCCACTCTCAAAGTGAAACACATACATGACACACCCTAAAAGCATATTATATACAACATAGTTATAGACCCACACCCCTACATATACATAACAAATAAATATTAAATACTGTCCATCTTGAATATATAACGGAAGGAGGAAGCTTGAGAGTTCACAAGGTTAATGCTATATGGAATGAAACTATGGCTGAATTTGGATGTTCTGCTGCGGATACCACAAAGCCTTCTCCCAGAAGGTAACAAGGAAAACAGGTCGTGAAGAGGATGTGTAATGTCCCAGATAATCTTACAGACCCTGCTCAAGCAGGGTAATTAAGTGTAATTAAATCATAACCCGTTATTGTGGAAGTTAAATAATCAATTTGTAAGTTTTTAATTAATCATACACAACTTTAACAAGGAGCCAGTAGTTCAGTCATGCAATACCATTCTGTCTGTCTTCCCTTTTGCAAAGAGAGAAACTGGATCTATATCACATGATTATTTGAAGATACACATACTTCTACACCTTTTTGGTCAGTTGGGAAAACCAGTATCTGGCCTCTGTTAATGCAGACTGCAAGCAGGAGCTCACAAAACAAAACATATCTCTGTTACACACAAAACAACCAGGATATAGAAAATAAGATATAAATTATGTATTCATATGGAGCCAGTTTGGTGTAGTGGTTAAAGCATCAGGCTAGATCATAGGCTAGTCATTTTCTCTCAGCCCTAGGAAGGAAGCAATGGCAAGTCACTTCTGAAAAACTTTGCAAAGAAAAGTGCAGAGACTTGTCCAGCAGTCCCAGAGAATTTATGATTGAAAAGAAGGGGAAAAAATCATTTTATTATTGTAAAAGTAAGATTGCATCCAGTCGCTATAACCTTTTCTACTTTCAAAGCAGATTAGCCTATTTTTTTTTCTGTTACCTTTTACGTACTTTTTTTTAAAAAATAATTTTTATAAAGATTTTCAATATGTTTGGAACATGGCTCAAGATCCCAAAACAAACTCAATTGGAATTCCAGCAACAAGGTTTTATTTAAAAAGCATTTGCAAAGGCGTGGTGAGCTGAAACACATGTAGGAATCCAGCCACACCTTAAAGAGCTGTTTGACACATTTTTATATCCTATCCCTGATGCAGATTCCCTCCTCCCCTATTGCACTCAATGCCCCTTGTCTAATCGTCTGACAAACTAATCCGGACCGCCTAAAACCACTATCCCCTGCCCCTCCCGTGTTCCAGGAAGCCCCTTTGTGCACATCTTATCTATCACCATCTAATTTTCTATTAACAAAGCTCGATTCCTATAGTTATTTCTATATTTCCTCTGCTTGCAGTTTCAGTTAGCCAGCAACTTCTGCTTTTCTTATTTGTATTTAGTTAACTTGTTTGAGTTTATGACTTTCAGGTGGCTTCTCCCACAGACCTTTAGATTCATTAGAAATTTCTGATTAATAATCTACTCCTGTCAAGTACAATAGTAAAATCTAATACAAATTAAACTCAGAAAAATAAAGAAGAGAAAGAATTAAAAAAATGAAGTGTATAAAAGTTGAATTACAGCAACTGGACCAAACTTTGACCAGATGGTCATTGCTCAACTTCATGAACTTCAACTTCAATTTCCTCAGTCAGAGTAAAAAATAGATAGGCAGTGAGTCAGAGAGTCATTGGAATGTACCAACTCTTGCCACACCAATTTCAAAGGTTTCTCCCCAAAATGAGTTGCAATATGTATGTCAATGAAAACTCATCCAGGCCAAAGATGTCTAAAGGTTGAATCATGGCAACTGGACCAAACTTTGTTAATCTGAGATGTTAATTTGAGAGAGAGTCAAGATTCGACTGAAATTGGTGTGGCAAGAGTTGGTACATTCCAATGAATCTCTACTGTCTGCCTACCTAATTTTTACTCTGATTAAGTTGCTTGGATGAGCAATGAAATGTTTCAGATTAACAATGTTTGGTCCAGTTGCCATGATTCAACCTTTAGAAACCTTTGGTTTAGATGATTGAGTCATCATTGACATACATTAAAAAAATGGAAAGAAAAAATTAGAGAAACAAAAAGGAAAGAAGTAGAATAAATAAAAAGAAAAGAAATATATAAAAGAAGTGACTTCCAATCTTCAGTATGCAAGTAAAAAGAAATTTGATAACTCATTATCTGCTATAAAGTTACAAATAAATATCTCTCCTTCCCCAAATCCATCTTTCTATATGCATAATGACAAATGATCAACTTTTCAATCCTGGTGTATGCAAAAAGCCCATAAAGAATGACCAGAGATTTATAAAAAGCATGTCTTATTTTAATCAAACAGAACAACTTTATATTCCTTTCTTTTACTTCTAACAATCTTGATCTTTAATTCATTCAGATGTTATCTTTCTTGTTGTATCATAGAGGCTTCTTCAAGTCTTTAGCAGACCTCTTTTGTAGATCAACTGGAAAGTCACTATCCAGATCATGATTTTGATTTATTTTTTTGTATTTCCCCTTTATTTTTCAAAGCCTTAAGCAGTTTCTTCCATGTCTTTTGTTTACTTGGTCCACATATTATATATATACATACATACATACATACATACATACATACATACATACATACATATTTATTTATTTATTTATTTTCAGTATTTATATGCCGCCCAATCCCAAAGGACTCAGGGCGGCGTACAAAGTTAAAACAATGATAAAACAATAAAATAAAGCAGTCATACCGCGAGTCCGATCATATCCCGGCCCCCCGGGGACATCAGCCCCAGGCCTGCCGGAACAGGAGGGTTTTAACGGCCTTCTTAAAGGCCGGCAGGGTGGGAGTAGTTCGAACCTCGGGGGGAAGCTGATTCCACCAGGTCGGAGCCACCACAGAAAAGGCCCTTCCCCGAGGGCCCGCCAGCCGACATTGTCTGGCCGACGGGACCTGAAGGAGGCCCAATCTATGGGACCTCACCGGTCTCTGGGAGCTATGCGGCAGAATGCGGTCCTGTAAGTAACCTGGCCCTATGCCATGAAGGGCTTTAAAGGTGATAACCAACACCTTGAATTGCGTCCGGAGACCCACAGGAAGCCAGTGCAGCTCGCGGAGGATAGGTGACACGTGGGCATACCTTGGCGCGCCCACAATCGCTCTCGCGGCTGCGTTCTGAACCAACTGCAGCCTCCGAACGCCCTTCAAGGGTAGCCCCATGTAGAGCGCGTTACAGTAATCCAGTCTTGAGGTGACAAGGGCATGAGTGACTGTGAGTAAAGCCTCCCGGTCCAAATAAGGCCGCAACTGGTGCACTAGGCGAACCTGTGCAAAGGTCCCCCTGGCCACAGCCGATAGATGTTGTTCCAGATTTAGCTGTGAGTCCAGGAGGACACCCAAGTTGCGTGCCTGCACTGAGGGAGGTAAATTTGCCCCCCCCCAGGACTAAAGATGGACCATCCAGTTGGCCTTTGGGAGACAAGACCCAGAGCCACTCGGTCTTGTCAGGGTTGAGTCTAAGCCTGTTCACCCCCGTCCAGACCCTCACATCTTCCAGGCACCGGCACATCACGTCGACTGCTTCACTGAAAGGACACGGGGTGGAGATATATAATTGGGTATCATCTGCATACATACATACATACATATATAAGTTTTATGTTCTTTAGGTTAACTTTTTATATCAGCAAGTTTCTTCATGGAAAGTGGGTGTATAACTATGCATGAATGAAATGCAAAAGATTATACTTACTATAAATGTCTTCAAAAAGAAGCATAGATTTTTCTCAGCATTAAAATTAAATAACAAAAGTTAATGCAGAACTAAGCAAATTGTGCATTTTCCACCTATAAATTGAAAAGAGAGCAGAAAAGCAGGAATTCTATCTGCAGAGTAAAGCAGTAAAACTGGTTTATATTGCTGATAAAAACTATCTATAAATACTACTTTCTAGAAAGAAAGTATTAAACAAATAAAATATGTGATTTGTACATTTTGCTGTCTTTGATATTTTCTGCAAAACACTGCAGTTTCTTTGTCATCTGTTACTCCAGACGTTACTTGAAGCCAAAATACTTTTCTGAATAATTATAGTTTAGAATTAATCATAACCCTTCAGAGACAATTCCTTAAATAATAGTGCAAGTGTCTCAATATTTTGGGTCAAACAACTCCTGGGAATTATGTCTGTGGTGCCTTGAACTGGAAAGAAGAAAGGTAAGAATCAAGTATAATCACTTAGCCTAAACATGTTTCTTCCAGGTTGGCTTTAAACTGGTTCTTTATTATAACTTTGGATATTCTATAGAATTAGAAGACTGGCAAAAACTATGGGATAAAATATTAAACTTATTAAAGTTTAATACAAAGTAACATACAAAGAAAACTTATATAAAATGTTTTATAGATGGCATATGACACCAGTTTGCTTAGTGAAAATGTTTAAAAACTTATCGGCTACATGTTGGAAATGTAAGCAAAAACTGGGTACTTACTATCATGCTTGGTGGACATGTTCTATTGCAAAAAAATATTAGTCTAAGATTCATAGATGGTTAGAAAAGATGATGAAAATCCAGATAGAATTTAAACTGGAACTGTTCCTGTTAGGTATATTAAGACCTAACTATGGCAAAGAAAATGATTATTTAATATTACATGTATTAACAGCTGCAAGAATAGTATTTGCCCAATTTTGGAAAAATGAAAACCTACCATCAGACCAGATTATAATTTTGAAAATTCTAGATTGTGCACAAATGGACAGATTAATGTTAGAGATGAAGGAGAAAGAAGATTCAATCTTCTATAAAACCTGGGGAACATTTTATCAGTGGGTTGAAACATGTTAGAATAGTGGTTCTCAACCTTTTTAATGCCGCGACCCTCAACTGGTCGTAAGTCAAGGACTACTCAACCGGTCGTAAGTCAGGGACTACTCAACTGGTGCAGCACCGTTTGCAGAATGGGACTTTTGGCGGGCTCGGCAGGGCAGAGACAGCCTAGACAATTCCTATTGGCTTTTGAAAGCCAATAGAATTAGACTCTATTCAAGAGAGTCTATTCTATTGGCTTTCAAAAGCCAATAGAATAAAAGGGAGTAGCACAGCTAAGAAAAAGGGGGAAAAAATGGTGGACTGCGTTGTTTGGCGACCCCCGTGAAATGGTCGTTTGACCCCAAATGGGCTCCCGACCCACAGGTTGAGAACCATTGCATTAGAATAAGAAGAGATTTTAGAGTTTTACTATATTAAGTATTAAGGTTGATGATTGGAAATAGTTGCTATGCTATTAACTATGTTAATTATTTAAAGGAATATTAGTCTTTTACCAAATGTCAGTTGTAACTATATCAATTTATTCTTATAAATGTCTAGTATTATATAAACAATAATACTTAATATGAAGACCCGGACGACAGCTTGTTCTTTGAATTATGTATTTACTGTAGTTATTCACACCCTGTCCCTTTTATCCCAACTTTCCTGTACCCGCACTGACCCTACCTTTTCCCTACCCATATAAAATCTAATAAAATATATTTAAAAAAACCTGGTTCTTTATTATAATATTTTTTTCTTTTTTCTTTCTTTTTTCTTTATGCTTTAGGATCCTTTCACAGCCTTTCATGTTGACAAGACTCTAGTAAGGAAGCACATGGCGTCACTTTTGATTGGGGAATTGGCACCTGATCAGCCCAGCTTTGAACCTAGTAAAAATGTAAGTTTGGACATAGAAAATTGAGGTAGTGGCTTATGGTGTTAAAATGCAAAGCCTTAAATATTATAAGGCTTGACTCAAAGATCACTTTTGTCATTAAAACCGATCTGCTATTAAGGTCAACAAAAGAAATTTTTATAAGGTATTCCTCAATCTTTCTGCATTGCCCTTGTACTTCACCCTAATCTCTTGGCATTTATAAAAACAGTAAAAGTCCATTTCCTTCAGCAGACTTTTAATTATGAAGTGATCTTAGTATCTGCCATTTCATTCCCTTCCACTCTCCATCTCATTGCCCTGAAGCCCCACTTGATCCTCCCCAAATACATCTGAAGGATATCTTCACTACCACTCACACTCAGCTTCCTCTCATCCCCCTATCTGTCTGCTTCCACTAAACAAGCAGGACTCGAATCCACAGGTGAGAATAACACAGAGAGAACCCTGTTTGCTTCTTTAGGCTCTACAGATTCAACCTGAACTCAAATAACCCCAGAAGACGAGGCTTTTGTTATCTCAACAAGTTATATCCAGGTAGTATCCAATGTACACAGTTTTATCCTCTTCATGCTCCGGATGCAGAGCAAACTCATTTCATGTCCCATCAGATGATCTTCCATCTGATTTTGCTAAACAAGATTTAAGGTACTTTTAAAAATGCAGCTGGGCAATAAGATTGGGCAAGTAAACCCAGTTCTTTCAGGTTGCCTTCCTCAGCCTCCACCTAATCAATCCCAGCCTGTCTTCTCAAGACCATTAAGCAGGTAGTTGCAATGCAGCCTCAGAGAGTCTGGAGAAAATAGTTTATCTGGATCCTTTTCAGTCAGGTTTCAGGGCTGAGCATAGCAATGAAACAGCATTGATCATGCCTGTGGATGGCCTGTGGTGGGACTTCTGGCCAATGGGCATCTACTGATGTAACCTGATGAAAGTCATTGAGTGGGCAGTTATATAAATTGATTAAATTAATAAAGTAGGTAAATAGATACCAATAACAGTTCCATAAATATTTAATAATAAATAATAATATTAATTCAAAATCAATATTAATTATATATTTTATAACAGTAATAAATACTATGTTTAATTGGAATACAGAACAAATGTATTATATAAATGAATTTAATGTGCAAATATATTACAATAAATATATAAATAAAAACAGCATTGAATAACACAACACTCAGTGGTTTTGTTTAAACTAGTAACTCTCTGACTGCATGTGCATTATAGGAATATATAAATTGGTGCCACCTTGTGGACACTCAATAAAGCTATTATACCAAAGTGTGTGTGAGTTAGTTTCTTCATTAGTGCTTTATGCCAAGATTATTAAATCCAGGTAGACGTTGAATAATTTCAAGTGTCCCAAACATGAGCTGTAAGTTGTCTAACAGTCACTAAGAAGAAAAATAATTTATTTCTGCAACAATTTTTCATTTGCTTTCTTCCACATTTAATATTGTTAAAAGAATATTTATCAAATTTTGAGGTCACATGGTTTTCTCTTCATTCCTCTGTATAAAGTTTGGAAGGAAAAGGATAGTTTGGAGGGCAATTCCACCAAGAATTCTTGATGTTAACTGTTGAAGTCATGCAACACCTGCAAATTTGCTGAATTTTTTTTCCATAGAAATTATTAATAGAAGATTTTCGGGAGCTGCTGTCCACTGTTAAAAACATGGGACTCTTCAAGCCAAACCAATTCTTCTTTTTCCTGACCCTTCTGCATATTTTACTGCTGGATGCTGCTGGCTGGTTTGTGTTGTGGTATTTTGGGATATCTATAGTATCTTTTTTTATTGCCACAGTGTTGCTGACCTTTGCTCAGGTAATTTTCTTGGATTTATTTTTGGGCAAAATTGCATTTTCCATTAGATTGGCTTCCTACAGCAGGATGTCTTTCAGCCAAATTAAAATAATTTCTTTGTAAGGAAAATAACACATATTCAACTGTCGTGGGCCTTCAGAAAATTGCACTAAATTGTTTGGAGGAGCAAGGGTTGAGGAAGACTAAGCAATTCGTTTAGATAAAAAGCCACTTCTGTTTTGCCCAACAGATGATTCTGTAGAAAAGAAGGATATTGGAGGCTTTTAAGAAGAGACTGAACAGCCATTTATCTGAAATGGCATAGGGTCTCCTAGTTGAGCAGGAGTTTGGATTAGAAGACCTGCAAGGTCCCTTCCAACTCTGTATTCTATGTTCTATGATGCTGTGTTATCTTATATCTCAAATCTCCCTTTCCGAAGGACAGTAGGTAATGAAACAAGAACAGAGCATTAAAAAGCAGCTATGTCTTCTCACTGTCTATCACAAAAATCACATAAGTTTGTCGAAGATATTTGTGGTTATATTGTAGAATTGCTTGCTTGTGCACATCCTATTTGTAATGTTTCTCTGGGTGGCTTCCTCTTTGATTGAATAAAAAAAACCCCAAGAATGAATGAATCTGTATTTTATCTATCCCAGCTATCCTTGCATAGCTATTACAAATATCATTGCATATAAGTTGTAGGAGTGACACAAAAGGTGGTCCTGTTGTGAATCGCTCTTTCCTTTTAGTCTCAAGCAGGCTGGCTACAACATGATTTGGGACATCTTTCAGTCTTCAGCAATCCAAAATGGAACCACCTTTTTCATGAATTTGTGATGTGCCATTTAAAGGTAAGTAAGGTATATTATTCTTAGAATGTTCCACAGAATTGAAGAGGAATATGGAATATTGCAAATACACCTGAAGAAGTTTCATCAGTAAGTATCAAATATGTTGTGTTATTTATAACAGATGTGTCAAATGGGATAAGAAAGCTCTCTTACATTAAATTAAACTATTTGCTCATCTATCTCATTACTAACTGCAGACCAAGAATGGAATTTCACTTGTAATAAACAATATGAATGTGCAAATTAACTGAGAGCCAATCCAAATTTAAGATCTGAAGGTGGCAAGACCTGATTCATATAGGACAGTGGTTCCCAACCTTCCTGGCTCCACAGACTGGCATTGGTGGCCAGGATGGTGGGGAAGGAGGGGATGGTTTCACATGTGCAGACTAATCCCCCTCATGCACAAATGAAGCTTTGTGAGCTCAGACACCACTAATGTGGCCCAGTTCCTAACAGGCCATAGTCCAGTACCAGTCCATGGCCTATGGGTTGGGGAACCCTAGTATAGGAGATCTGTCAAATAAATTCAAAAAAGTTGTTTGTTTGTTTTTTTACTTGAATGGAAAAGCATCAAAATGCCTATAGCTGTTTCATTTTCCATATCATCATCTTTCTCCTAATTTTTAAAGCTGGCTTTCCCCATAAGGTCAATTTGGCATGGGAAAAACAGTCAGTTTTTTAAAGTAGACATTCCATAAATTTCTAAATAACGTAATTGTTTTCAGAGGTACCAGAGTTTGAGTATATGTAGATCCTAATACTGTCCATCCAACCAAAGGTGCTGTATATGTATATTCCAAGGTTGCCCAAATTGGAAAATTAACCCCAGTTGTTAGCTTTCAGGATTTAATGCTTGACAATAAGTAAGCATGATTGTTCCAGATTGTAAAAACTGAATCCTCTCTCATTAATTGGCCTTTCTGTAAAGAGATTCTCAGAATCAAAGAACCCCATCAAAATTTTCTACAGAAGGAATTTATTTCTGAAAATATTTTCCAGATTTTTAAACTGGAATTCTTCTCAAAATAAAAATTAATCTTGGAATAACATACATTTTGACAGCATTCACCTTTCTTCCAAAGAGTAAGGTTTAATGACACCCATCTATTGATATCTGAAGAAATACCCTTCCAATAATAATAATAATAATAATAATAATAATAATAATAATAATAATGGGTAAGGACTTGATAGGTAGACAAAATGCCAAATCCAGTCTGAACATCTGGCTGACTGTGCGATGATCAATAATAATAATAATAATAATAATAATAATAATAATAATAATAATAATAATGATGATGATGATGTTGGAAGGGATCTTGGAGGTCATCTAGTCCAGGCAGGAACCCTAGACTGGCTGTCCAGTCTCTTCTTAAAAACTTCCAGTGTTGGAACATTCACAGCTTCTGGAGGCAGGTTGTTCCACTGATTAATTACTCTAACTGTCAAGAAATTTCTTTTTAGTTCTAGGTTGCTTCTCTCTTTGGTTAGTTTCCATTCGTTGCTTCTTGTCCTGCCTTCCAGTGCTTTGGAGAATAGCTTGACTCCCTCTTCTTTGTGGCAACCCCTGAGACATTGGAACACTGCTATCATGTCACCTCTCGTCCTTCTCTTCATTAAACTAAACATACCCAATTCCAATTATTTATATTACTTGTTGTATCCTTTCTTCTTCTTCTTCTTGTACCATATCCGTTATCGGACGTTGGTGATCATGTTGGTGATCCTATTTTTATCAGCAGCTGTGCCAAAAAGTGCTGCTGAGTTTTGTCCAAACCAGTCCCTTAGATTTTGAAGCCATGATGTTTTTCTTCTGCCTGGACCTCGTTTGCCTTCAATCTTTCCCTGGAGGATTAAATGGGAGTATGCCGTATTTTTCTGGGCAAAATATTCTAACTTTTGTTTTTTAATTGTTTTGATGATTTCCCTTGGCTTTCCCAGGCAGCTTATCACCTCATTTCTGATCTTGTCAACCCAGTTTATCCATAATAGCCACCTGTAGATCCACATTTCAAATGCTTCTCTGACAAGTGGCCTTCTGTCAGAGACAAACTCTCTACTCCATAGAGCAGGATAGAAAAAATATAAATCTGACAAGCCTGAACTTCAATCTTAGGCTTATGTCGTGACTGCAGAAGACCTTTTTCATTTTGAAGAATGCTGTTCGAGCTTTCTCTATCCTTGTCTTTACTTCAATGGTCATATCCCAGCTTTCAAGTAAATTAGAACCGAGGTGCGTGATCCTTTCAACTTTTTCTGATGGTATTCCTTCCAAATTTATTGGTGGTAAATTAATGGATTGTTTGCTGATGACCATGATCTTGGTTTTTGAGGTGTTAAGCTTCAAGCCATATTTATATCCTTTGGTATATATATTCAATGGATTTGGTGCAAATATGGAATTGATATTTAGCGGATGGGTAATCCAATTTTCACCTATTGGAATCAGTTTTGATTTGGACAAGTTAATAGAATAGTCTGCTATTTTGCATCATTACTAAAACAACAGTATGAGGTTTGGAAATAAATAAAAGAATGTGGGTATTTGTATTCAACTGAGTTATATAGTACTCCATAGATAATTCTATGTTGTCTAATAGCAGAAGCAAAAGGTTATTAAATATTAATAAATTGATTATTAAATATTAATTGAAATATTAATGTAGCTATTAAAAAGCAAGGGTGAAAGTGTTTAGTTTCTCTAAATAATAGAAAAGTGGGAGAAATATGTCATTAAATCTTACTTTAGATGTAGATATAACATCTTAATTCATTTTATGAATTCCAAGGGATTTTCAAATCTATTTAATACAATAAATAAGTATTGTTTGTGTAGTTTATCCAAAGCTTTTCAGCATCTAATAGTGAGATTACAAGTTGATTTTTATTTTAAGTCCGTTATATCTACAACTAATCCTATATTATCTGCTGCATGCCTAGTTTTTATTAATCTTGCTTGCTAGTTTTTTATAATAATTTCTAATCTATTTGCCAACACTGCTATTAAAATCTTTGTATCAACATTAGCAATGAAATCAGATGAGAATTAACATACCAGGTGTTATCTTCACCTGTTTGGTACAACTATAAGATAAGCCTGATTAAATGCCAGTGATAAAATTCCCTGATCAATAAGCCTGATTAAATGCCAGTGATAAATAAGGAAGGAAAATACTGGAGACAAATCTACAGGTGAGTCAAAGAAGAATAATGATAAAATGGTGTGGAGGCAAGGAAGAGCAAGATTCATTAAAAGCGAGACAGAGCGGAATAAACTTAGTCCTCGATTTTGTATTCTGTTCCCCCCCCCAGACAAATCTCTCTAAATACACAAACGGCAGAGTAGCACATCTTCCAGAGCTTTGATAGACAGGGTTCGAAAAGGTGACAAAACTCCTTTGCCACCTACTTAAAGTTAATATCAGAGAACTCTGTACAGTACTCAAATTCCCCCAGCTTTGTCCATATATGCAATGAATGCTTGAGATTCTTCAAAGCTGGAAAGTGCATTTAATCTTCAAACTGTTTTTGAACCTCTCCAAGATAATTCAGAGTCAGCTGATTCAACCCCTCAAACTTATTTGAAAATCTGATTCAAAGGTTCAATGGAATGTCCTCTATAATATATTGCCTCTTCAAAGCAGAATACTGCTGTACTAAATAGTCAAGTAATCTTTTAAAAGTGCCTGAATGCTTTCTGTCACTCTTCCTCTACAGGGACTTTCAGCTCATTGGTGGTCTTTGCACCATTCCCAGCATCATGCTAAACCCAACTGTTTCCAGAAGGACCCAGATGTTTCATTTCATCCCGTTATTTTGTCATTAGGGAAACCTCTTTCTTTGGAGGTAAGAAGCAACAGATTTTACTGAACCCTGGCCTTTCAGATCAGAACAGAACCTATTTAGCCACTTCATTGTCAATGTTTAAAGCTGAACACAGTATAATTCTTCTGGATGTATTATTTATATTTATGAGCAGTGTCTGATAAAACAGATCACAGAGAAAAAATAGATTAGAAGGATTGTACAAAATGTTCACCCATGGTGGCCACAACAAAAGTGTATTTCTATATATGGTCCCCTCTTTTCTAAGGCTGAGAGAAAGTGACTGATCAAGGTCACCCAGTTGGCTTTCTAAGGCACGGGTGTCAAACTCGCCATGTCATGTGATGTGTTGCGACATATTCTGATACTTTTTGCATTGCCGACAATGGGGTAGGCACAGCTTCGGTATGATGAAATTGGCCCAGGGGATGGCAGTTTAACACCACTGGCCTAAGGAAAGACTAAAACTCAAAATCTTGCAATTTCCAGCTGATGCCTTAACTGCTATACCAAACTGGTTCTCCTGTTGTAATTCATAGCTATAGATAAATATTATGAATTGGACTACTGGGTGAATTGTCTCTCTGAATTGACTTTATAAGTGTGTACAAAAGGATTCTGAGGAACTCAGCAAGCTTTTATAGCCATGGTGCAATCCTAAGAAGGTGTGTTAGGGAAGCAAAGTAGCAGATTGTGTCCCTGTCCAAAACCCTGGCAGTTCAGGTAGGATAGATAGAACATGGTGGGTGATATGGAGGCTAAACATCTATGTTTATTCATGTTTCCTCCTTCTTTGGTTAATGTTATGAATTGGCTGATTAATTATGTGCAAATTATGTCAATGGATTGTTTCAGATTTGATAAGCTAAAAACTTTATCTCTGATGGTTGGGGATGTGGCAGTCAGTAAAAATCTCAAAATGAAGAAGCTGCCTCTTTAGCTCAGATTCTGGATTCCCTTTTTGTTATTAATTTTTGACCTCTTGATACTGTTGAAGCTTCTGGAGCAGCTTCAGGGGTTGGGAGTGGCGGGGTGCTTGTGCTATACTGGTTCACTTCCTTCCTCTGTGGGCGCTCTCAGTCAATGTTGATAGGAAGTGAGAGCTCCAGGCCTTATCTGGATGGGGGTTCTGCAGGGCTCAGTACTCTCTCTGCTCCTATTTAACATTTACATGGAGCCGTTGGGTGAGATCATCCGTCACCATGGACTGAGATATCATCAGTATGCTGATGATACTCAGCTGTATATCTTAGCCTGTGGTGAGTTAAGTGATGCCATGACCTCTGTCTCACAGTGGGGCTGGATGGGGATCAACAGGTTGAAACTGAACCCTGGCAAGACCGAGTGACTCTGGGTTTGGGGCCCATGGAGAATTGCCATCTTTGATTTTGGATGGGGTGGCACTGCCCCAAACAGGCCCTGTGCATAATCTGAGGGTACTCCTGGACTCACGGCTCCTGCTCAAAGAGCAGGTGGCAGCCGTGGCCAGGAGGGCCTTTGTGCAACTGCAGATTTGCACCAGTTACGCCCTTTCCTGGGCCAACAATCCCTACTCACAATCACTCATCCCTTAGTCACCTCCCGTCTTGGCTATTGTAACGTGCTCTACATGGGGCTGTCCCTGAAGAGCACCTGGAAGCTCCAATTGGTATAAAATGCAGCAGCCCACATGGTTTTGTGCAGACTTCATTATACACATGTGACACCTCTCCTCAGTGGTGGGATTCAAATAATTTAACAACCGCTTCTCTGCCCTAATGACTGTTTTAAGTATAAGAAAGTGATATACTGAAAGGTAGTTTATTATTTCATGCATTTAATACTTAAATAAGAACAATAAAAGAGGTACACAAAGCTAGATTATGTTATAAGAAAGAATTTTAAAATATTAATGAAAACTATTAAATAATACCTGACAAAAACAATAAAAATGTTGTTTAAGATATTTCTGTATTGCTTTTTGATTGACATCCTCACTTGCAATTTTCTTTGCTTTTATCCGAGCATCATCAGCTGTGTGATTTATTCTTAACCATCCGTGCGCCCCCACTCCAACACTCTTTTGGAAGATGCTGAAGACCTGGTTCTGTCAGTGGGCCTGGGGAACCCAGAGCGGGATAGAGCCCAGCAAATGGCTAGTTTGTGTGTTGTCGCTGGGATGGGGGGGGTTATTATATTTTATTATTTTTGCTCTTGATATTTTATTTTTTATAGGGTGCTTTTCTATTTATGTAAGCTGCTTTGAGTCGCCAAATGCAAGTAGGCAACAATACAAATTTTCTAAATAAAATAAATAAATAATTCACCTCTACTGACACCAGTCAGCACATTAATTGTGCCAGTGATAGGATAGTGTGGCCGAAGAGCTGATATTGGGACAATGGAGCACTTTGAACTCAGAAGAGCCAGGACCATCAGTAATGTTTTCCTTTGGGACCTTCTGCTAATGGAAAGATTAGTTAAAGTTTATTTAGTGTTTTTGTTACCAAAAGGGACCTCTTCCTCTCCTGGCTAAATATATATATATATCTAAGATTAAGAATGTTCTTTCCGTATTTATATTGTAGGACTTAGTTCAAAAGCTACCTCACTCTGCCATGAGTTTCTGCATCTGGAAACTTTGAAAATAAAGTGTCAATGCTACTAACTTGGATGTTCATGCTTTGACAACAGATGGAAATGCAGCCATTTTCTCTATTGCTTTTAGAATTAGTTGATGCTGGGAGGGGGAATAGGGATGAGAGTCCAGCTAGTCTTAACAATAATAACTTAACCATGGGAACCTAAGGACATTGGGCCCAGAGGTGATAGTGTTTTGGTGGGCTGGAGAGCTGGGGAGAAAGCCCACGCTTCAAGCTAATTGGGGAATGTGATTTATGACTGTTTATTGGAGGAGGGAATTGTACTTTGTTACTTTGTATCCAGGGGAGGGGAATTTAGTTTTTGTTTCAACTATGTAGTGCCGATACTTTGTTTCTTGAATAAAAGTTTCTTTAAGGTAAACAATGCCTTGAAGTTTTTTGAAGAGTTTCATCTGTCAGAACCATGACATTAAGACTGCAATCTACTCTAACTATCACAATTACAGTCTATTATTGTACATTTCACTTTTCTTCCCCTTTTCTTGCCTGAGTATTTATTTCACAGAGCAGTTGAAAAAGATGTTATAAAAATGGAGCCTTAAAGTATAATTATCTAGTGAAGGATATTTGTTTTTTCATGATTTTCTTTCTTTTACAGTTGGGTTTGCAGAAAAAGAAATACATGCCTTATAACTATCAGCACAAATATTTTTTCTTCAGTGAGTATCTGATCCCCCCCCTCTAGCTAAGTGTAAATAAAGTTTTTTTGTGTGTAAAAAACAACTTTCACAAAAAAGCTTTGGATCATATTTGGACTATCTTTTCCACCATGAGCTCATGGACAGATTATATATGCATTCTACATAATTCTACATTCTACATCTGCACAAAAGTGCAGATTAATAAAACTCTTATTACACATTAGTGATAAGTGTCTATGGAGATTCTCAGTCATACAGCTCCTGGTTGTCACAAAGGTGCTTTTTCAAGAGGCAACTGGACTTTGTTTTCCCTGAAGACATTTCGCTTCTCACCCAAGAAGCTTTTTCCATTCTGACTGAATGGTGGAAAAGGAAGAATTTATATTCCTTGCAGTCTTATTAGTAATAAGATAAAGAGGAGGAAGAGGGAAGAACAAGAGCAGTGGCAGCAACTGCAGAACATTGCAGAGAATGAGGAGGAATTCTTTTCTTTCTCAGAGCAAACAGACACCCCTGTACATTTAAGGTGGATGGAGGTATCTAAGTCCATGTCTTCAAAAGCAGGCTATGTCTAAACAGTGCAAAGAGAGCCAGAGGGGCTACCACACTTTCTCTTGCAGCTGCTCAGTTATTTGGTGCTCTAAACTATAGGCAGGACCGAGGACCATCCACAATCAAATTAGAATGGAAGAAAACTGCCATGGAAGAGAGACGGAAAATAATGCAAAAGATGCTCCATCCTCTTGGCCAGCAGTTGCTTTTCTTTTTTGAAACTACTTTATTCATGGTGCCTGCTGGATCCTACCTCTGGCCCAACAGGTTCAGGAGGCCATTCTCGCAATGACCTACCAAGGAAACCCACTGGCCTCCCTTCAGACAGGCAGACTGCCATCCAGGCTAACAGCCTTTGGCTTCCATGAATTGGTCCAACCCTTTTTTGAAGCCAACCAAGCTAGTGGCCACCACCGATAATTGCTTACAGCAGTTCAGAGGGGACCTCTGACATATGGGTTTTTTTTTTACCTGCCTCCAATTAAATTGACTCTTGAGTCTGAGTCTCAAGAACCACAAAAGCCCTGGACTCTGAACAAGTGGGTTTTGTTTTCTTTTGTTTTTTTTAAAGTATTTTCTTATAAGGGTTAGGGAGATATTTTATTTTGAAAGAAACCCAAGATATAAAAGTGAAATGTGAAACTTACAAGTTTATCTATTGCCTCTACTTTATATTTTATTCTATTGCTATTTATATATTGCAATATTAATTACAATTACTATAATGATTACAATTATTATACTCTGTTACAATACCATATTCTGTGGTACTATTATATGACAATGTTTTCTTCTTACAAATACTGTTGTCCCTTAATTCCTCTTTCTGGAATTTCTTTTCCTTTTCTTCTCTGCTACTAGCCAGCAAGTAGAATATTTGCAACTTTCCTTGTTGTGCCTCTATGCTTCTTTTCCTTTGGACTATTAACCCCTCCCCACTTTTGAAGGAAAATTGACTTTTATTCATCTGATTCCAATATAAGAGAATATTTGTAGCTCAGGGTAGAACTATGGGGTCCTTGCTGCTCTCTGAGATCAGTAGTTTCCTTGCAGACATTTCATTACCTAGCTAGGTAACATCATCAGTGCTAGAAGGCAATGGGGTTTGCTCTCTTTATATATACTAGTGGCTTGCCCTGTCTCTAGTTTTAGGTTTTATATTGTTGTAAATCACCCAGAGTTGTGTTTTATGAGATGGGCAGTTTTACAAGATGTTTCTTATAAATTGAATACATAAATATTTGAAAGCAGGTCTCACTGGATTTACCTGAGTAGATTAAGACAGTATTGTCCACTTATCACCAGGAATAACAAGAGATTATTTTAATTCATTCAAGTATATTTTAGTCAATTGGTTCTAATGGAGTCAACACAAATAGGCAGTGTCTGCTATGTACAAGTTTTGGGTTTTGATTTATTTTTGATGATGAAAATCTCAAGTACAATTATAATATTTCCAAAATGTTAAATGCAAAACATTTGAGGAGTGTGGTTAATGCTTCCTTTATGTTTAGAAAAGACTGTTAATGGCTATATGCATTTTGTTTCCTTCTACAGCATTGCCACTGATTGTTGTGCCAACTTTTCAAGTTTACTCATTATACTTTATACTCCAGCGCAAACTCTGGAGGGTGAGTACACAAATAATCTATATCAAATATTAAAATACTGAGATTTCCCCCCCCCCTTCATAGCACATTTTTAAGTTTAGAATTTTATTTCCTTAAGAGGATATAGAAAGGCTAGACTATTTTTAAGAGCATATAAAAATTGGCATAGGAATATTGTTCATAGGAAAGTCAATGCCACCCAATTCTAAAGCATTTCCAGATGGACTATTGCTAGCTTTCAAAAGGCTTTTTATGAAGAAGGCATTAGAATTTTTTCTAAGGAAACAAACATGTAGAAGGTATAATGGGGAAAGTTGGAGGCATAGAATTGGACAATGACATCGGTTGAACTAAGAATGTACAAGAATTACAATCCAGTTTTCTCAAGTAGTGATTTTGAGGGCTTTGATTCAGGAATTGTTTATGGTGGGTTGAACACAAACACAAATGAAGTTATGGTTCATCTTTCTCTTTAAAAAGATTTAGAGGGATTGGAAATGGGGTTGGATGTATCTTTTTCTAATTGAAAAGATGGCAGAAGAGACTTTTCCAACTTTATTTAACATAGGGATCTGCCATGCACTATTGTCAAGCACTCTAAATAAAAATGGCTGAAATTTGGTGGGATAATCAAAGCTAACAAAATCTCTACATTCACATCTGATATCACATAAACACATCAGTTACTGAAAATAACTGAGCTCAAACAGATCCACATACATACCAACATTGGTGTTTACAATCACACATGGTCTCTTGTATTGATAATCACTATATAAAAAGCTTGTCTTCCCTGATTAATAAAAAAAAACAACCTTATAACAACATGCAAAGAAACTTCTCTCCTCCATCACTTTCTGGAACAATGTGAGCTCAAAATATTGTACTTTTTAAAAAGCAAGTATACTCAATTTTGTCTAGTGAATTTTTTTTGTGGGTCTTTTCAATCCATTAAATCTGTCAATCTGTTAAAAAAGCAGCCAGAGTAGAAAATGGCTCTGTCAAAGTGGGCAGTAAACAGAGCAGAATTTCCAGAAGATATACATCTGGAACTTATTACAATTCTATGTAGGGTGCCTACTTGGAGCAAGGGAAGATGCTATTCTAATGTCTGTTTCTTTTCTTCTCTTCTGCAGGAAATGGCATGGACTGTGGCATATTTTATCCGATTCTTTATTTCCTTCAACCCCATATTGGGATTCAAGGGTGCTTTGGGATACCTCTTTCTTTTGAAGTACTGTTCATCATATGTACTATTTTCTTTGTGTTTCACCATTCCTTCACAGGCCCTGGCTATTCTCTAGATTATCCTTCCCCAACCTTGCCCCCTTCCATATGTGTGGGTTTCAATTCTACTGGCAGTAATGGGAGTAGATGCCCAGGCTGTGGAAGGCTAATCTGAACTTACTCCCAAAAGTCCCCCTCTTTTTTAGGACACCCAAACTCATTTTCTTCCTGTTCAAGATTGGTGCACATGCAAATAATTTCATGATTTCAAAAACTGGACACAAGAGGAGACTAAAGATTTTAAGTAGAGGAAAGATATACAGGCCTGCAAGATAGTACAAAATGTTATGAAAATAAAAACACTGAAGGAGAAGAACTGAATTAGAAAATAGTAGCCATAATATCAATAGTGTCATAATATTGATGCTTTAATGGATAAACTATGTCCAAAGGATGTTATTGAAGAAATGTCACTTTTAGAACAAATTTTGACAAGATGGAGATGGTATTGAAACTGGATTTACAAGTGGTAGATCAAAAGAATTAGTTAGAAAAGGATGTTTCTCTGGATCTTCAAAAGAAACTAGTTGAGGTTTTACAATTTAAAAATGAAATGCAAATGAGAAACCAACTGGAATTGAATAAAAGTTTTGTTAAAGCCTTGAAGAACTTTGGTGAAAAAACAAAAAAGAAATGAAGAGAGATAAAATCTTATGGCAATATTTGAATGAGCTAAAGATTAAGTAAAAGAATGGTTCATTTGATCATTCTTGATAGGATAAGTTACTATTTCATACTATCTTTTTTGGATTTTCTACTGACACAAGATGGAAAAGGATGTTTTATGTATTTGTTTAGAGATAAGATATGGGATGAAGAGATAAATGTTTGGAACTTTACAGAGGGTGAAGAGTTACTAGTTTTTTTATACTTATTGTGATAAAGGTTGGAAGTAATCCCTTTTATATGCTTCTTTTCTCTTGATTATATGCTTACTTTTCTTTCTTTTTCCTTTCACTTTTTACTCCTCTCTAGTCCCTTTTATTATTTGAGTTTATATTGTCATTTATAAATGATAAAGAGCATTGTGAGGGGCTGGAGGGAATAGCAAGAACAACCTCACCAATTTGCCTTCCTCTAAGAGGATCACATGTTGTCCATTTGCCATTATATATCTATCTGGGATATATCCAAGCCATTCTATAGTGGCCATTCTGGATCAGTTTCCATGGTATTTGATCAACCTTCCAAGTATGTCCACTGACTCAGAAAGATTGAGGTTCCTGATCTTTGGTTTGGATATGTTGTTGGGGTGTGTGTTTCTTTTTCTTAATTTTGATTTTTCCTTTTTCACTTTACAAAAAACAAAATACAAAATACATTTTTTTCTTAACAGTACTGTGTCCCATATCTTTTACATTTATTTACAGTTATTTACATCACTTCTTGTACTTTTTTATTCCTCAATTCTAACCAGTTGTAACACTTGCCCCATATCTCATAAAATTCTGTAGCTTCTTTGTCTTTGATTTCCAGAGTAAGTTTGTACATCTCAGCGCATTCTAGTATCTTGTAAATAATCATATCCTTTGTTGGTATGTTTTCCCCTTTCCAGCATTGCACATATGCAATGCGTGCCGCTGTTATTATATGTACAATGATGTGTTGAAGTTGTTTTTTCATCTTTGGGTTAATTATACCTAATAAGAATAATTTGGGTTTAAGTTTGATTCATTCTTTTGTTATTTCCTGTATCTATCTCCTTATCTGCTCCCAATAAATCTTTGCTTTGGGGCATTGCCACCACATATGATAGAATGTTCCCTCTTTTTTTTTTTTGCATTTCCAACAGTCTGGATTCATATTTTCATATATCTTAGCCAATCTCACTGGTGTTAAATGCCATCTATAGAACATGTGTGTTTCAGTTGGACAGGTATTGGCCTCCACAGAAAGGCATCATTAGGTTTAGTAAATGGCTTGCATTCTAAGCCTAACAAACAAACAAACCAATAAATTGTCCCACTGTTCTATTTAATAGCTGATTTGTATAGATATAGTTTCACTTCCTGACTTTGCTTCATTTCTGTCTCTCAGTGTTCTCGAGAGTATCCTATTTACATGGATATCACAGACAAGTCATCTTCCTATGCACATTGATTACGATAAAAACATGGATTGGTTCTCTACACAGGTAAGAGAGATCTCAAAGATAAAATTGATGGCTGCACATGATTAAACTTTAATCTTAATGTTACACTTGTCTGTGTAATTTTATTATATGCACAATAATTCACAGATCCATAATAATCCAATTACCACAGCATCAACTATAATTTGCATAGGTGAAAACTGAATTCCTTTTTGGAAGTTATTTTTATCTATTTTTTTTGACATTGCTTTTCCTATCATAGAAAAGTTTGAAGTGTGTTTAGAAATATCATGACTTTTCTTACAGGTTATGATTGCCCTCAATTTGTTCGGACTTTATAAACATGGAAATGAGATGAGCAGAACAAATAACACTTTTTGGCTCATTTTAAGATGATAGCACCAAAGAGAAACTGGCCAGTGCAGAAATCATTTCTTTCTTTTCCATTCCCAGCATCAGGTTTTCATCAAGATCAGGACATTCTTTTTAGAAAAGGAGTTCGAATCTTACCAGTCTGGAATAAGTAAGGAGAAGATTTGAAAGTAACTGTTGAAAAGAAATGTTTCACAAAATGAAAAATAAACATATTAGTACAATTACACTTTATTTCTCCATGTTTTCAGAACTGTACAATGAGGACTATCAGATTTGATACCAAATGAGTATTTAATATAATTTAAGCTTTCCAAAATTCAATATATTTGTTCTTCCATCATTCACAGTATGTCTGGACTAAAATCTCTCTTTCTCTCTTCTCTCAGCTTCAGGCAACATGCAATGTGAATCAATCTTTTTTCAATGACTGGGTAACGGGGCACCTGAATTTTCAAATTGAGCACCAGTGAGTACAGATTTAGGGCAATGAGAAAAATTTTAAGGTATCAGTGAGAAACTGCTTCATATTTCGTATAAAACAAAAAGATAGTAAAGGGATCATAATTCTCTGTCTTCCTTTCTGCCTATAGTCTCTTCCCTACGATGCCTCGGCACAACTTTTGGAAGGCGACTCCTTTGGTGAAATCCATGTGTGCCAAACATGGTATTGAATATCAATCAAAATCCCTCTTTACTGGCTTTGCTGACATTGTGCAGTAAGTATCAGATTGCAAAGACTATCAGCTCAGAAGAAAATTTGGGCATCTAGGAAACATTCATTATATAAAGGTTAGCCAAACAGCAAATCAAATGAAGAAACTGCATGGTTTTGCTCTTAAGAACATGGGAAAGGTGAACTTGCAATGATATAGACATATATATATAAGTGTGAAGATGTCAATTGAACACTAAGTCCATTGGGTAGAGGCTTCAAAAGCAATCTGCTGTGCAAAGTATTAAACTGTTAATGAGAATAAAGATTCTGAATGTAGATCCTTTAATAAAAAAAAAACAAGTCTAGTATCAGAAAGAGAGAAATGCTAATCATTAAGCATGTGCTCTATTATATGCTTCTTTCATAAAGTTAGTTATAATTAAAAATTAGTTATCAGTTAACATCAAAGAGCCTTTCATATGTGGTAGCTCTCAACAATACTTGGGTGATCTTGAAAAAAGATAAGCAGCATCTAAGTGGGTAGTATTTTGATAGGAGCCATCAAGAAAAAGATGTAAACTAGACCAGGGGTCCCCAACCCCCAGTCCATGGACCACACCTGGTTGGAGCATGCCAGCAACCGGGCTGCACAAACAAGCAAAGCCCCATCCACAAGATGCACGCCCACCCTCCAATCCACGGAAAAAACCCTTTCATCATGGAATCAGTCCCTGGTGCCCAAAAGGTTAGGGGCAGCTGGGCTAGACTGTAAAGTTGCAAAAAACAAAACAAAACAAACAAACAAAACCCCTCTAGAAGCAGGCAATGGCAAACTATTTCCATATGGCTGGCATGAAAATTACATGCCCAGGTGGCCTCCTGAAGATGGGCAGAGTCTGCCTTCTCCCTATCACCATGACCTTGCAATTTGGGTGCTTGGATAAAGTGCTACTTTATGATAATGCTATATAAGTCCATAAAGCATCAATCCAAGCTAGAGATACTGTCAAGACATGTCAAATACTTAAAAGAAGATGTAGCAGTCACTGATAGATTTTTTTGCTGCTCACTCTGTCCTCAATGTACTGCACTTGTTCTGAATTCAATCCTCTGCTTGAATCAGAAGCATGATTTTTCTGAATAGGTCTTAATTCTCATAGCAATGAAGCAGGACTTACTTTCTGTTTTTTTTTTCAGTTCCTTGAAGGTTGCGGGTGAAATCTGGTTCAAAACATATCATCTTGAACAGAAAACACAAAATCCTAAAATCTGTCTTCAACAAGGGAAGAAGGGTGAAGAGACACAATAGATCTGAAATGTACCTGACAGTCTTGGGCACAGAAAACCTAAAATACTTTGTGGATGAAACAGAATGCTTGGAGAGACTTGACCTCAGCTTAATTTTTGACATGTTTCCTAATGAATATAAGCACTCAAAATGACACTTTCCCCCCTCTTTTCTGTTTCTGGGTCTTGGATGAATCATAAATAAAGATGTAGGAAAGTTTCTCAAAAATTTTCATTGAATTGTTTTGTTGCTGCTTTTTACACTTCATCTCGGTTTTGCTATAGTCATGAAAATAAATGTAAAAGCTGTTGTAGTGGATTCTGGATTATGATATGAGATTAAACTGGATCAGCAGATACAAACTGCAGATAAGAAACCAATCCACATTTCTTCTACTTTTTTTTAGCATTTGTAGATTCCATATTATTTACCTGATGTTTCTCTCGCCCAGAGCTTCCAATACTGGAAGAAATCTAGTAATTCTTCCAAATTCATTAAGAAAAAGAGAAATGAAAAAGTATCTTGCACCACTAAACAAATAATATCATCAAGATGACCATGCATGTCTATATTTCTGTGCTTTTCTTCATTTTGAGGACTTCTTCTTGGGCTGGCAGGGTGATAGAAATGCAAGTTGAGAAATGGGGGCATGGAAGGCAGTTTTGTTGATGGAAACCCAGCACATAGGAGAAGTGTGTGTCCATGTCGATGCTGAAATGAAAACAGAAAAAGAAGGTGGTTTTATGAGAGTGCAAAGGAAGTGGTGTTTTTCAGTGTTTGCAACATGTTGACATGTCAGTACTGCTTCACAGCTGGTATCATGATGTGGCCAGGGATATGTCCAACAGCAGATGCAAAATATAATCTTGGTGTTGAAAGGTTTATAATAAACACAGGATTATGATTGTTTTTACATGGTCAGCCAAAACTAGAAAAAATAGTACATTAAACGTAAGAAAAGAAAACAAGAAAAATGTGAACTCAACTGAAACTGAAAAGTAATGGTAGGGTGAATAATTCACTTTGCATTAAGATTAAATCACTAAAGTAAGAGACCAAAAAGAGACAGAAAATTTGCATTTTGTGAACCCATCTGGAACACAAAAATGAAATTAAAACAAAAAATGATATTAAATAACAGTTATTAAAATGAACAATTGGAAATAGTTAAATGTACATTCCTATACATTTATGCAAAAGCAGAAGTTTGCAATTCTAAATATATTTCTTAGGATAAACTTTCCCAGTTTTCAGAAATACTGGATTCCTGCTTCCCTAATCTCATTTTTTATCCTCCTGTGTGCTGACTGTGGGAGTTAAAATCCCAAACATCTGATGAGCACAGTACTACAGAAAATAACTAATAATAATAACAGTGGAACTTGATGGGGTTTAGTTCTGAATAAGAAGAGTTTGGAGAGTGTTTCATATACAGATAGTCCTTGACTTTTGACTAATTGCTTAATGACTGTTTAAAGCTACTACCTGTGCAGAACTTCTAATCATCATAAAATGTTGCACCACCCTCTTGTGGTCATACGATTTCATTTCAGATTCTTGGCAACTATCTGACATTTATATTTTTGAAATCTGATCTATACTTTTAAATCTACATGACTCTTTAAGAGTTTAAAAAGATGAGATCTAGTATTTGAATTGTAGTAGCAGTTTAGCTCTTTGTTCTCATCAAATCCTTATATTGAACACAAGAAGTCAGCAAAGTATAGAGAATTGCTATTAAGTTTAATGCATACAGTATCTGATTTTAGAAACATTTAGAACAGTGGTTCTCAACCTGTGGGTTGGGACCCCATTTGGGGTCGAATGACCATTTCACGGGGGTCGCCAAACAAGGCTGTCCGCCATTTTTTCCCCCTTTTCTTTGGCCACGCCCCTGGCACCCAGTGATATATAAGTGGTTGGGGGTCACCACAACATGGGAAACTGTATTATGGGGTCGCGGCATTAGAAAGGTTGAGAACCACTGATTTAGAACAAGGAAGAAAATTAAGACGGGTTTTTTATTGATGTAATTTCCAAAGGGTTTGCCATCTTAATCCATTATACTGTCATAATGCTGCCACCACTGACTGTCACTGGGCATGGTGGCCAAAAGCACATAGATCAGGGGAGATAGGTGGGTGGGGGAAGTTGTAGCATCCCTGCAGTTGTAAGTATTGCTTGGACAGGTGGCAACTGAGCCTTTCCAGATTACGGAAGTCTTATGGTGCTTTGGAGGGCTGGGTAAGTAGTTGAGGATTCTCAGGTGGCAGCAGCTTTGGGCTGCACTGGTGGGCTAGGCAGGGTAGCTGAAGCTTTGCAATGTATGTTGGAAGTAAAATCTGGTCTGGATCTCAAGCGATGAAAGAAAAAGACACTGGTGGTGCTACTTGAAAGGAGGAAGTTTATTTTCCAGAAAGCCAAAATCTCTGGAAGGTAGACTACAAGATAGGGAAAACTCTAATAACAATATTTATAGCATTCTAAATAGTCTTTTAATTGTTTTTCTTTGTTTATATTTAGCATTCTTATTGACCCGGGAAAAGAGTTGATTAAATCAAGCAATGATGGAATCTCTTCCTTTAAATTATAAGTATTATAATTCAGTTTATAAAGTGTAAATTTGATGTGTTTGCTTGTGTATTTTTACAATTTAAAATTAGTGTTTAATTAATTTTTATGTTTGAGTAAGTTTAAAGGAGTTTGGAGACTGTAAATCAGTAACTTTATGGAGACCTGGTCCCTATACAATATTTCTAACATAGTTATAATATTTGTAAATTCTTTCCACATGTACTGCAGCACCCGTCCAACTCACCCATAAACTGTGCCTGGCCTCCTATGGCTTCCTTCACCACACTGAGGCATCCTGTACTCTTTACCTGGGACTCTGTCTATTTAATGACTTGGAATCCTTGCTTAATGACTGCAACCAGGAGTGCCAAGTCTGTGGTTATTGAGCAAAGCGGTCATTTGACATCGCATTGAACTACTGTTTCACTCAATGAACAAGATTCAGTCCCAATTTTGTTTGTAAAGTGAGGACTAGCTATAAATAATTTTTTTTCAAGGAATATATCTTCAAGTGTACAAATCACAATGAAAATCTGAGTGGTCAGAATTGTACGGTCACTCTGAACTATTTTAAAATCCTTCAGTTTCCATTTCAGTTTTTATTTCAGAATCTTTCAGTTCATTGAAATCTCTCAACTTTCAAAGTATCCTTAAAAAATTACCATTATGGGAAAACTTAATTCAAGGCAAAAGTAAAGATGAGGATGAGACACAATGAGACAGAAGTAAGAAACCATTATGGAATAACAACCTCAGTAATTTACAAAAAATAAAACAGCCATACAACTTCAATTTTTTTATTTCTCATAGGCATATTTGACATTGCTATATTTCAGTGTTACTATTTACTTATCACTTCTCAAATTATTGAAAACTTTCATTAAAAGGAAGACCTCAGATTTGGAGCTGCCCAAAGGAAAAACTAAATGCTTATATCTCTCCCTTGAACTCAGTGGAAGTTTAAAATACTGCATTTAACTTTGATTATGTCCGGCATTCTCATTGTACTTGCTTTCAAGAAATAGAATATCGAGATTTTGCAAAAATCATTAAAAGTTTGCAAAAATTTTTCAAACTTTTTGCAAAAATAATCAAAATTAGCAAAAAATCAACAAATCAGCATATTGATTTTTCAATATGAGGCTTTTGCCTTTCCATGTTTCTTGGAAATCTTTTTCTCTTTCTCCTTCTTTGTTTCTCTTATCACTTCTTTTCTCTCTGATGTTTTCAACATCTCTACATTCCATTTTATCCAATCTGCTTTTTTGTCCTCAGATTTATTTTGTAGTCTTAAGGGGTGAGTTGTTTTTTTCTATTTCTTGTAATTTTTTCCCCACTAGGATTAAATCATGTTTTCTTGCTTTGTTAAGTTCCATCTTTGAGTCTCTATTTTCAATTTTATATCCACTTATTTGTTTTGTCTGCTCCTTCTCTGTTGTTGTTTCCTGGAAGTTTTTTGTTGTTGTAAAGTTAACTTAGAGATAGATTGATTTGTATTTTCAAAGTTATTTTGTATTTCTTTGTCATTTGAACTCAGTGTTATTTGAATTAATTGCAGTATACTATATATCTTCTCCTGAGGGGTATTTATGTTTTCTTGGTGCGTTCTGTCTACATTTCTCTGATCCATGATGGCCAAAAGTTGGAGTTTTCCTTCTTATCAGCAAATAGCTTTAGAATCCCGGTTAAATAGATATTTGTAACAGTTCAAAAAAGATTTTTTTCCAAAGTTTATAATTCTCTCTTTGTCTGCAGCCCAGATTGTTGTCTTTTTTTTGGTCACAGCTGTTCTTTATTATGAAAGCTTTGAAGGTCGCAAACACAGATTAGCTTTTCCCAGGTTTTGGCAAGCTGTCATAATCTTCATCCACCACTAGGTGTCAGCATCTATTTAGTTTTCAATATGAACAATGGTCTTTAAAATGAGAGTCTTGGAATATTTATCATTAGTTAAATCTGGTCTTCTTCTTCCAGTTTTGTCTGATTAGAATAAAAGGTCATGTCTGGTGTTGTGATTGTTATTTGATTGTCTAAGTTATCTAAGTTCTCAATATATTGTGTTTGTTGATCAATTCCTGTTGCTTTTGGAGTTACAGGTATTTTAGATGAAGTCAGTGTTTGATTCTCAAAGTTCTTAATAGGTTGTACATATTGTAATGCAGCATCCTCTTTATGTTAATTTGCTCTTCTGTTGTTTTTTGGCTTGTAAGTTGATCAGTTGGAGTCTGGAGTTCAATTTGTAGATTTGGGGTAACATCTTTGGTTTTCACTCTGCCGTTCATTAGTTCAGTGGCTTCAAGGATTTTTTCAAGTATGAGTTTATAGTTATGTTTTGGGTAAAGTTCCTCCATTTCTATGGTGATTTCTATGGTGATTTTAATGGAGGCTATGTTTAGTAAAACTCAGTCAATGTCCACCTCCACAATTTCTAGAAATTGTTTCACCACCCAGCTGTTTCCAATTCTTATCTTTTTCTTAGATAATATGAAGGGCAAATCAAGGGAGCCAACAGGCCTCACAGTCAGAGATATTCAGTTGCTGTACCAGACGTAGCCACAAAATGTCCCCTGTAGGCTATGGAATCTTTTTTTCCAGACGCCAGTTAGGCTTTTATCCAGTTAAAAAAAGAAAAAAAGAAAATTTTCAAATTTAATAGATAGATAAGATGATAAGTCTCTATAACCCCAAAATCTTAAAAATAAATGAAAATCCAGTTATTTAGTTGTTAAGATTAATTATTCTTTTTTTGTTTCAAAGCTTAAATTCCCAAAGTATACAAACACCACTGTATTAAGAGTGGGG